GATTCGTCGTGCTGATTTAACTTTTGAAACGTCAATGATTTGCTTCGTAGATCACAAGGAAACGAATTTTACATGTTGCAGAACCTTCATAAAAACAAGAAACCACAACAGATACAAGTAAATCGTGAAGCAGTTGGTGGAACGCTCCTAATCACAAATATTCCGGTGAATTAACTAAATTCGGCTATTAGGAAATTCCATAGAGACTCAAAATTATGCCCGTTTTTTGAAAATACTTGATAATGATGCTAACGGAAGTGCACCACGGCAAGTTTTAACATCGTCGCATGAAGGAAAAGCGACTGAGCTAGAAAACATTGAGTAATACCGTTAATCAAGTCCTACATTTTTGGGTAAAAGCATGCAATTACCGAAACATTTGTGTTACATTTTGCCAGTAACCAAGAGCCACACACTCAGATTACTGTGCCTCAGATCCCATGTCTGACGCTAGACTCCACATCCCCGCGCTCACTCAAAACAGACAAGACTCGTGCAGAGTGCATTTAATACCTCAGCCAAAAGCTGAGTGATATGTTGAATTATGTCCCCTTATTTAAGTCAAGTATGACCTTCACCTGGTGGATGAAAGCGGATTAACACAGATGTCTTGGGTGACATATGCACTGAAGTAGCGTAGTTAGGAGTAGGGTGTGTAAATGACGAAATCAGCGTTGAGCCATTTCGGGGAATTTCGGATCACCAACACTTTGTTGACTATTTGATTTATGACTTTTCTGCAAAAGTCGATGACACTAAAGCCTTGGTCATGGAGGGTCAACGGGTTCAAGTTTCTACATTTGCCATCACTTTACTGAACTTGGTAGATCATTATTTATTAGTAACCTCTCAAAAAGATCCTAAAGAGACAACGAATATCATTTTCGTTCTAAAGATCTTTAGTAATTAACATGGGAAAGTCAAGAGGAAAAGCTAGGCTCTGATGTTTTCAGGCCACGATCTGTGACAAGTCAGAGAAGCATGAAAAATTACATTTTTAAAGCGATATCAAAGTCATGCTTGTGATAATTCTGGTGATTGCTCTAGTAATTGCTAGGTAAAGCCGCTAAACACCACAGACCCTACCTCAGATGAAAATTGGCATAAACATAACGATCATTAATGAAAATATGACACGTGATCCTGAAAGTATTGCTAAACAGCGTCAAGGCGTAAGTTAATTTAGGGTCACAGATTGCGAAGAAGCCAGTTTAAAACAAGCAAGGATACACGATTCGTTTAGTATTAAAAACCATTAAATTTGTGTCTGACAACGGATCAGAATTGCGGTATTACAGTACAGACAAAATAGACTTTTCGTGCAAAAAGTTTGGATATGATGGACGTTAATTGCATTCAAGGGTAATGGGATTAAAAACTAATTGGTACCATGCCAGTTAAACAATTTTAGAATGGACGGTAATGTGGTCTTTTAATTAAAAATGGCATTCTAATTCTAGAATCGATAAGTAAGGACATTATTAAAAGATTACTTTTGCAGGCAATTGATTGACGATGTTTTAACTACCGTCATTTTTTGGCCAGATAGCAATCGGCGGAAAATCAAGGGCACCATTGATGTGGTGATTATAAACGACGATTTAAAAAGGAACAGTTCAATGACAGCTAAAATTGCTTAAATTTATGTGTTGTATAGCAGCTTTACTTAAATTAGTGTTATTAGAAACTCCAGTTAGGTTCCAACCTTAAAGAATGCAAGCTATCTTAATTCCTAATAACCCAAAAGCAAAATATGTATTTTAGTGTAAAATTATATTAATTTACACCAAAGAATTCTGTTTTACTTATTAAGCGGCATGGAGAAATAAGAACTCAAAGCGACAAAAAATTTTATCAGTCTGCAAACATTGTTTCTACGCTCAAATAAAAAATAAGTTCTCGTGGGCATAATAACATAAAGAGAAGTGAACTAAAAGAAATAAATTTACTAAACTTCAAAAAAATATTTCATGTAACTTCGATTGGTTATTATAAGTGTGACATATTTGCATTCAGAGTTTTAGGAGTCTTTCAGTAAGGCTTTTATATGGATTTTAAAGCATGTGAATTTTGTTTGGCTAATCTAAACGAAATGCGGTTGGCGCATTTTATGACCATGTGTTCATCGTTTTGGTTCCTTGTTATTCTTGTTGGTTCATCGGTGGCTCAGAGATGCCATTTGTGCGATCAAAATTGCCGTACAAAATTTGTATGCTTTTTCTATTTGTTATATTATCCTAGTCTGTTCCAAGTGTTAGAATATCGTGTTTCCAGGGATGCCGCTTTAGTTCAGGCTCTCAAACGGAGCTATCTGAGTCTGGCGTAAACGCGGAGTGTGAAAAAGCCTGTAGTTCACTTAGCTCTGATGATATGAAGGCTGCTTGTTATGACGGGTGTACTTATATTCCCGTTTCAAATATTATGAGACCCAGTAATAGTCCATTTTCATTTTCTGGAATTATGCCAAACCCAGTCATATCAAGGTAAAGTCTCTTCATTTCGACTCATCTTTTTCTAGCATTATTTCAATGTTTCGTACTCTGGTTAATAAACGTAAGTTAGTCTGCCTATATAACCTCTCCAAAATTTGCTCCTTAACTACGTTTTTTTTACAGAGAGCGAGTCGGATAATGGTGTGGTACATAGGCTACGTGTGCAAGTACTTGTTCCAAATGGTGAGCACCCTTACATCACGCTTTAGTATTTTTGAATATTTAAATGAACCAACTCTCGTGTCCGTATTTTTAAAGATGAAATCGTCGAAACTCCTTCACATCCTGCTGACAATGAATTGCTTATGATGAACTCTATGAGCAATTTGAATGGTGAAGCCTTAGAAAATTTACGTATGGTGATGGGACCACCGCAAGCGGTTGACACTCCAACTTTCGGAAATGTTATGTGTCACAGAGTGCGCGCTGTTATTCGCCATCTCACGGCTCACCCCCTTGTCCTGGTATCAATTATCCTCATGTTTTTCACCAGCACCGCTTTACTGGTGTTCATGTGCATTCGTCTTAATGCACGACGTGCGAGAAGGGCGATCTTCAGACGTCAATTCAAGGTATTTTTAACATGTAGCGCTTCAAATAGTGTAAAGCGCGAAATACTTTCTGGTAGAATCTAGTCCCTTTTCCATCAAACAATTTACACAAATATTTTATCATAAGTTATTGTTTATGGTATAGGATTTATTTAGGTCTTTTGATGGCGCCTTGGTCTACTCTCGTAATCCGAGCTTTTCAATTTCAATCAGTGAACAACGTATTTGGTCTGGAATAGGTCGGGCGCTTTGGTTTACTTCAATTTGCCATAAATTGAAATTACTGTAATATCGTGTGATATTTATGTGTTTGTATCACTACAATTTAAGCACCAGTTCTGGTTTCTGTCGTTGATGTACCATGTTCTCTTCTAGCGAATGCCTGCATTCTTCAAACCTGCCTCTGTGAGGGTTAGCCTTCTATCGCCGCAACCGGCTACTGAGGAGGATGCTTCAGAGCTTCCACCGAAATTGCCGATCGCTTGAACTTTAAAATTGAAGCGGAACGGGGAACCTACCTAATTCCCAAACACCCGCATTGATCTGTTATTGTCCCTCATTCCTTTCATGTCTTTGTCTATTCTTTGAAAGACTGGCCCACTTACTGGCGTTCGGGACAGTTTTTATTTTGACTGCCTCACATTTTTACTCTATTTTGTCGGTCTACTTGCATTCAGTTTTAAGCCATGTGTAATCAATAAAACAACATTAAAATCCCACTAGCGCCTCATTTTTTACCCCCAGCTCCTTTTGTGGCATTTTAGTAATTCCCCTCTGCGGCCAGCTACCGTGACCTCAAGGTCACTCAACCAAATGGTCTGCTTAATTAATTACTTCGGGGTATTTTGGTAAAACACTTTCATGTTTTGCTAAATTTTAATGTGAACATTTCTGTTAGATTTTTTGATGTCGAACGCTTCGCACAATTATGGGTTAATGTGGCTATGCCCGTTTGGGCCCATTATATTTAGTGTTGTATTATAGTTATCTGTCATGGATCCTTGTTTTCATCGGTCTGACTTTGCATTGTGAAGTTGGTTACGGTTTTGATAGCTACATCTTCATGGGGTATTTGGGTGTTGCCTTTGACGTCTCCTGAGCCACTGTCAAAATTACTTTAATTAGCATTAGTATAGGACCCTACTTTTTGTTCTATTTGAGGTTATTCACAATCGCAAGACTCACTCCTTAATTCGTCAACAATGGTAACAGGTCGGTTTGTAGATATTTTGGCGTGAGTCTGTTTCTAACAACACGGTTCGGCTTAGTGTATCGACAATGATAGGGTAAACAATCGGTTTGTATTTTTTTTTGCTCTTTTGTGATCAAAAGCAACTCCATGGAGATGCACCGTTCGGCATAACGCAATATTAATCAGTTAAATTTAACTTGTTTTCGCGAACTTTTAAATTAATCAAACGCGAATTGAATAAATATGGATGGTTTCAGATAGGCCTTACCACTAGCTACCGTAATTCAAATAAAGTTGACAGGCAGATAAAAAAACATGTTTGAGATTACGGCACACTTCTGGGTACAGCATAAAGGCATTAGCCTTCACAACAACAATCTGGGAAATCGCGCGCTTATGAGACTTTAATTCACCTCCATTTTCACTAGGTTCTTTCCCTCCAGGGCGTCATGCCACTTGGTTCCACTGACCAGACACATACTCAATCGTCCTTTCATCAAACTCTTGCGGTATTTAAGGAATTGTTTTCACAAAAGGTCCGCTTGCCCCACTCTGTTACTAGTAAATAGGGAAAATGTTTGTCTTGTAAAATAACAAGCGGTGCGACACATGTTCAATGTAGCAGCCCCAATGCTTTTTAATTTTCTTGCTTTTCCTCTTCACATATCTATGTATTTCTAGCTATGCATTTGGCTTGTTTTTGACATCTTTATATGCCTATTTGACCCTCGGGGATACAAATTCTGATGTGTTAATTTTTTTTAGAAACTGTCCTACTTTGGTTTATTTCGATTTTCACTGACTACGCAATCACCCTTCTTCCAGCGACCACGTCGACTTAGTCAAACAAGCATTCTACAAAAGATGGCCAATTCTATTTACACATATGTCCGGGACTTTGAGGCTGACAGTCCTTGCTTGCCCAACACCTGGATTGTTGTGCGACTAGACGGGCAGACTTTTCACAAATTTGCAGAGAAACACAACTTTGTGAAACCTAACGATGAGCGCGCATTGAGGTTGGCCAGTGAAGCTGCGAAACGAGTTATGCGGCAGCACCTGGATATTGTTTTGGCCTACGGACAGTCAGATGAATTCAGCTTTGTGTTTAGGCGCTCTACGGAATGCTTCAACCGAAGACCCAGGTATACACATCCTTGTGTTTGTCTTCGTTTTCGAATTGAATCTATTGGAATTTTAATTTAACATTTTTAAGCCATTTTACCTGATTTTCACCTATAAAGCCTGCATTTTGCTTGAACCAATCTTAGTGGTTTGAGGAAGCTTTATTGTTACTGAGAAATCTATTTTATTTTCCCCAAAAGACCAAATTCATCGGTCCCATGTTCAGTTTATATCATTTGACGTTTTAGTACCGGCGTCAAAATCTCGCCACCAAAGTGCATTGTCTTTACATCTCCATGTTGTGGTGTTTACCTTGATTTTACAATGTGACAGCGATGAGGAACTTTTGTGTGCCATGAACACATTGTTTTGCCGTTCCCACTTTTTACTTAATTAGTAAAGTATTTTTGAGTCTCTGATAGCATGCTGCTAAAGAGTTCCGTAATTTTATCAAGTTAGAATATCGTTAATTCTACGCATCGTCTGTGCCCAAGGCGAAGAGATTATCGGGTCTCAGGGGTTCGGAAAGTCGTCAAGGCATTTGGGGTAGCATCAAATAATGTAGGTGGTGTTCTCTTGGCTATTACAACATGATTCACTTTCGGTTCATTTTTTTTCATATCTGGAACCTTGAACGTTAACCTTATATTTCGGGGTTTAGTTCAGACTTTTTACGCACACACATCCACTACGATTTTCTATAAAGGCAATGAACTAAGCTGTTTGTTCTTTGTTACCTTGTTTAGTTGAGTACCAAACCTAACTACTGCAAAATGTCAAATGAAAATTTTGATCCTTCCAAAGAATCCTTTAAAACCATATGGCTTGCTTGGTGGTACTTAACAACTAGGTGTGATAGGCGGGCTACGAAAGGACGAGTGCTCATTCATTAGTTACTTCGCATAAGAACTAATGCAAATCATAACGTATGGGTACTTTGTTTCTCTTAGCGGCATATCTAATTATGGTGTAATGAGATTTGGTTGTGTGCAACATATGTACGAATTATTTAAGCGATGTTTTATGTTTGCTTGACAAAAAATGGTTTATTTTCCTTGATCAGATATGTGGACACGTTTTGAAATTCTATAGATTTCAATTAAACATTCGAATTATCAGTAGAATCTAATGCGCTGTTATTTGGTGTTAAAAAAATACATGTATGATTTAAATGAAAATTACTTCGTTGTTCCCAACGTTAGATTTGCGTTTCAGTCATTTTCCCTCGTTACCTCCAAAAGTTGAAAAACTATTTACAGGTACGACCAGCTACTTTATGTCGGATGAATATATACTAAAATTCCATCAGCGATAAAATTACTTTGTCAAACTTCGTCCCTCTCTGCCCAGAGAGTTCCTAATACATCTCTGTTTCCTTCATCATAGTGTCAGAATGCGTGCTAATGCTATGCGTCGTCGGGTATTGTAAATTTATGCTAGAATAGCCACACTGAGTTCAGTGGTGGCGTCAGCTGGGCCTAGCCACCAGCCACGAGTTAGTACTTGTTGCAAATGCTCAGTTCGCATTCCCCGAGTCGCCGGCTCCCAGTCACAATCGATCTCGTAACGTGACCGCCTGCGTCGATTTGGGTTTCTGCATAGTTTGGAACGATTTTAAAAGCATTTGTTTTCAACTGCTGTTTTTTACTCACCTGACCCAATGTTACAAGCAGCCGACCAAAGTCGTCTACAATTGAACTCGCCGTTCATCGGTGTCATTTTAGGCCCCAACTTAAACAGCTGCTGTTTTAATTTGTTTGCTCATGTCCTCTTTTTGCAATGCAAGAATGACCTAAGACAGTTACAGCGACAGATTTTTACGAAATGCACAGGTAATTTTAACAGATGACATCCTTCACTCCGAATATCTTCTTGAAATCTAGGGATTTGTTAAAGAATAAAAATGGTAAATAGTTTAGAAAGGACTTCAACAACGACACTTGGAAATTCTACTATGGCCAGCCAATCTCGTAATAAATGTTAATCTGAAGATCTACGTTGTGGATGCATGCCACCTACCCAGCTGAGGTTTTGTCGTCTCTAGGTCTTCGCGTTACATGAAGTTGTCAGAATGTGCTACAGCTCACAGCTTTTGATTTGTCGACATTAGCTAACCGGTTACTGCAACTTTTGGTATACAACTTTGTTCTATTTCCACTCTATTAGGATTGCAATATTTTGCTTTAGTGTCAGCATAGTTAGTTGTGTTGCTTTCAACATAAGTCATCTTACGAATACGGTAAACACTTGCTTCCTAACAACTCACCTCCGCAGAAGGATGGAGCCGAATAACCGCAGTGATTTCGCACACTCTAAGATGATAAATAGGTTGTTATGCGATATACCGTTAGTGTCAAGGTTTCTTCGTTTGTTAGTCTGCTCATTTCGTCATTTTATTTTAGATTTCCAGTCTAGCCAGTTTTATTTATCATTCCTTGTGAGTCAGATCCACCATGGGCATTTACCACAGGGCGAAGCGGCTGGACTATAGGACCAGTATGTGAGCTCGGCTATTGAAAGTTTCCACTAAAACTATAAGGTGTTCCACAGATTAAGCCCGCGCGTAGACGTTTTCATACACAGCCTGACTTAACTACATCAAAAATTGCAAGTAGCCGTCCACTTGGCATTAACTTTAAAACATTTCCGACAGAGGTATTCACTGGTTCAAATTTGTTCATGCATTTATTATAAGTTTTGGATCTCTCACGTTTGTTCTTAGTGGTATCAACCTTTTGTATAGTGTAGTATGCGGGCTGTTTATTCCGAATAATACGCTCGCACATACTTGTTCGTGAACAGCAAGTGTGGCTCTCGGACGCTCGGTGTGACGAAACGCTCAGTTACAAGTAGCTTAAGAACTTTTGGCGCGCAGTTACTTTAAACTCGTGTGGATTTAAGTCACTGTGTTCAGTCTTTTATCGCCTAGTTGCGTTCTTCTGAGGGAGGCTTGAATAACTTTTATGCCCACATCGTGTCGTGAAATAGCAGACAGAAAGTTTGCTTTCAAACACTGATATGCACTAAGCGTACTTGCGAACTTAACCAGACCCGCTTAAACTGACTTCTGGTCGGAAGGAGCGAAGAAGATGGGTGCCGATTATTTTGAAAATCAAATTTCTTAAGCAACATTTTATTAAAATCTGCTCTCAGTTGGTATTTCTGTTCAATCCGTCTGACATCCCTCACAATAGCTGGTAAAATGCCCTGATGGCAGTAATTAAATGATACCTGCATATTTGCTGTAGTGAATAGTACTGATTCACGTCCACTAATCCCAACATCGCCTTCTCAGCCACACTGGCTTTCTTTTCACAGCGTCCCTGTCGCTCTTGCGAAACGTCTGCTCATGCACCCCTGTGCACGTGCCCTCCCTTCGCTACCTGTTTCATTCAGTCACTTTACGGGATCACCGAGATAGGACCAACAACCCCATTCGGTCAGGCACTACTTTTTATGCGCAGTGGCGAGACTGGCAAAACTTGGTTAAGTCATCTTGCAAACGGTCGCGTTCCCACTGTCTCTAGTCTTCTACTACTTGTCCTGTCGGGTACCCGTGTATCGCAAACGAGCCGCGTTCAGTGTAGCGGCGCCAGAACGGCTCAAGAGCACATGCCAGGGCTTGCAACATGCTTAATCACCTTTGCTTCAGCCCAGTTATTGTATTGATGATTTAGTAAATACCTTAGGTATTTGAGTACGCGTCCCTTTAATGATGGTGGTTACCTTCCTAAAAGCGCTAATGACCATCTAAATTATAAATCTTCAAGCTCATATTTAGCCTATGAAAAGTTCTCTCAGCAAGTTCCACAGTTTATGATTGCAATTGATTCCGAGATATTGTCCATTACACCAGCTATGTTGCTTATTGTAGCAAACTGCTTACGACGGTCGCATCACTCTTTGCTTCGGCATATGTTTTTGAGTGGCCAAATTTTATGGAAGGCACCAAACTTTTGTATCCCCCCGCATTCGATGGTCGAGTGGTTCTTTATCCGACGGACAAAAACCTCAGGGACTATCTGAGCTGGCGACAAGTTGACTGTAAGTCGTAAGAGAAATTAGTCAATTTGAGAGTCTAGGGGTGTATAATCTTGAATATATTAATGCACCAGGAACAGGAACCTGGTCACTTGTGCTATTTGCATTTGTCAGGTACATTTATCCTAAAGTAACCCAAAATTGTGGTTTCTAAGTCAGAACATGAGTCATAATGGACAATTCGCTATAAGGTTAGGTTTAAATTCCTGCCGCAAATGTATTTCGATCGCCATGATAACCATTTGAATTCTTTTGAAAATAGCTTTTACTTTTTCAGGTTCGTGTTTTTCGATTATTCAGCAAAATCTCCATAGATTGATAAAGGGAAGTGTGTTAATGAGTTTTCGAATAAAAGCTTGACAAGTTTTCTTACATTGGCCCTAGAATTCACGAAAAGTTTACGACATGCATTATCCTTTGAATAGGTCACATTAATAATCTGTATAACACTTGCTTTTGGAATTTGGTGCAGCGCGGTGGACTGACAACTGCTGAAGCAGAAGAACGCATGCGGGTACGTTTATTTTTTTTACAATTCCATAGATCTTTTCTCATGGTTGCGGGTGAAGATTAGGTCGAGTTTATATTCTGCGTATCAAGACCTGTGAGGCTGGAGTTGTGTCACCCTCAAGTGTCGTTAGTCAGTATCTCCTGTGGCGAAGGTTTAGTTTGTACACTTTCATTGACCTGTAGTTGCAGTAAAAAAGGCGTTGCATAAAAATTAACGTTATTAGCTTGATACTTCTTTTTACTAGATGCCAGACTTTGTATTACAAAAAAAATTAGTTGGAAATAAGCAAAGTATGCGTCAACTGGAAGATTGATTGTTTGAGATGAAAATTTTACGACACACGATATCGAAATACGTGCTTTCCTTAATGCAACAATGGTCTTAACTTTATACACTTTGATAAAAACTGAATAAGGATGTGTAAACTGTGGGCATTAAATTGGAGAATAATCTTATTGTAATGCAAAATATGGAACATATTCCCTTACCTATTAGCTCATTAAAGTAATGACATTTAATAAAAAAAAGCAACTCTGATGATCATCTGCCAACCACAAAATCGTCCTTTTTGCAATTAGCTTATATCTTCACTAAAAGCACACTTAAACATCTCCTCACCCATAATGTAGCCACGTTAGTTTACAAATAAATGACGTAGACGTTTGCCCGTGTAATAAGCTAAATTTATATTTTCAGATTGCTATGCTTTCATGTAGGCATCATTGTTTGCAAAAAAGCGAAATTGTCAATGCCTGCCGAAATGTACCAACATGTAAAGAATAAGTCCCGTGTAGTTCACTAAATTAAAGCGATTACTACTACTATCGCCTTTCTTATTTACTCTCAGGCTCAAGATATATGCAACTGTTAATGGACTATCAAGAAGCGAGAAATTATACGAAAGCTCATCACTAGCACACATATTCTAAGATTTTCCTCAACGAAAGTTCAAATTATTATGTCTGATTTTCCGCGTTCTTCACTGAGCCTTTTTTTTGTTATTTTATTGTTAATTAAGGCAGAGACGTGAAAATTAGGCTGGACCTCGACGCAACAATTTCTCGTGCTGTAATTGTAACACACGTGCTTTTAGCAAGTTTCCGCATTAGGCGTTTTATTGCTTTCGTTACTACGTAATTATATTTGTAGTAACATGGCTAGCAAGTTAATTGGTGTGCTCTATCGGTATAAGAAATATTTAGAAAGAAATGATAGCCACAGTTTTCTCAGTACCACAATCTGTTTAAAACTAATGCCCTATTTTTACCGAAATGTAGTTATCATAATATAAAGTTTTTTTTCTCACCTTAGTAATGATGTAGGTAGTGCTCAATTGCTTAGAGTCAGCTATACGTGTAAAGAATATTATCATTTATGCTGTTGAATATTGTGCTTACTCATTTGTTAGCAGTGATTGGATTGCAATTTCTTTCTCTAAACAGGGGACTTTATCTTCTGATAAAAATGAAATCCTTTTTACCGAATTCGGAATAAATTACAATAATGAACCACAGCTCTACCGCAAAGGAACGGTTATTTTTCGGAAACAGGTTTGTTCAAACCAGCTAGTTTACATGCATACGTTTCTTTACGTCAATTTTGCAGCAGTATATGTTGCCACACCTCACCTACTAACTTTCAAACTACGTAAACATAATCCCTTGCACCCAACTGTGGTTGGTTTGCGAATAAGGGAACTTCTATAGGTTCAATCGGTTCGATTCCATTTCAATTGACTTGGCAGATAAAAGCAGAACGACTACTGGTTTCATTGTACTTGGGCCTGAGCTCTCAAACCTTTCATAGCCCGCTTTAAACTTCATGACGTTTTAAATTTTTGAACACCCGTAGTTTTAAATGATGATAATTGCGGCGTCAGGTTAATTTATAGCCATTCATTAAAAAAATACTGCTTGACGTGACAACTAACTGCTAAGAAATTCAACAGCTAAGCAAAATTATCCTTGTTCGTTTTCTAGGCGAAGAAGATTGCCATCGAGGAGCGAAATTGCGATATAATCAAGGACGATTTTTGGGAGGAAAATCCTCATTTGCTGGATCCCTGATAACGAATAGCGTTTACTTGTCGTAAAATCCCTCATTTTCATGTATTTTCATAAATAAGAACAGGTAAATTCGAAACCATTCTTTTGTAATTAAATCAAAACCTTTTGTTAATGAAGCCAACATGTAGCTCATTAAAAATGTGCGTTTGCATCGAGACCATGATTTAAAATGAACAAATAGTTGTGAAAAATAATGGTTAGTTTGTGTTTTCTAACTTCACTTCTTTAGAGAATGGGACCTATTTGCATGAACCAATTCGCATCATATCTCAGCAGTTAAAAATGCGTAAATGTGGTCACGGATTATTTTATTTTTAATTACAGATACTAAGGCGTGCCTAGGTAGATAAGATGGCATGGAGATTGCTGCATTGATTGTCAACTTACAATGAAAGTAGTGATTTCTTTTTCTACCCGATTACAACTAAGGATCCAAAAAAGATCCTACGTATTTCATGGGCTGTGGTATTATCAATTGTGATGGTTTGTACTTGAAATAGACCACGACAATATTGAGCCGTACGAAATATTTGAGGCGATATTAACATCAAATGTCCTTGAAAAAAAAGAAGAATTTGTAAATTGGTCTAGTAATTTTTTTGTTTGTCAGTTACTTGGTTTAGTAAATCCCTTAAGAAACTTCCATTGTCTTTAACAATGAAGTATACTATTCAGAGAATTTTTAAGGTATTTAATGCGATGATATTTAAGTCATTCTTTACACAAAAGTCGTTTTTTTAACCTTTTCTCTTAGTCATATTGCACACAAATTACTCGCATAGGGGAAATGTATTAACTTTAATGCCCCATGGTTCGGATTTATTCAGATTTTGAAGCTAGATATTGATACCGGTGCATGTTATTACACCTAAAGAGAATCTCTGCTTAAGTTTATGTTTTTTTCCATCTTTTCTCAATTGTCCATTTTAAATTCTAAACTTCAGGTATAGTTCACACATATCGGCATTTCGGGTCATATGTCGACCATAATCCACTCTGAAAAGTAATAATTCTTGGAATCCTCCATATCTTACGTGCACATATCATATTATGATTACCTAACTTGAGCAATCGATGCGCATTATATGTATGTCATTTTCAAGGAGATACACCTGAACTGCTATCGTCTTGAAAAATGACCCTCATCTTTTCTTTTGATACAGGGCAATTTTAAATACTAGCCAAGGATCAGCTCCTCATTTTTAGAGAAGTAGCTGCACAGTCATATTTATTAATTGTAGCTTCTTAGAAATAAGACTAGATTTGTGGGAATTGGAATTTTTGTGATTTACATGCTTTTAATCCACTCTAAGTAAAAGCGGATGAGTTAAAAGATGTGTTTTCCGTGACGGATTATTTGTTTTTTTTTCTGTCTGCTGGTAGATTTTGAATCGTCTATGACTGAGTTGTTTATTTTTTTAAAGTTATATAAAACTGTAGAGTGTTTTTTGGTAGCTCTCCTTTTCTATTGTTTGCATTTGGGTCTGCGCCCCTTTGGCTTGTGGGCTTAGTTAAGCCTTGAGCTCCAAATCCCTGCTGATTGAAACTTAATAATGATTAAGTCCGTTAAACCTATTACAGTTGTGTCTTAACTACTCTTTTAGTGTGGTAGTTTACGTTGACGTTTGCTCACATGTTTTAAAAATCAAACCGACGGACAATAGCAGAAGTTTTGCAGCCTTAATTTTTGACGCTGATTATGCTAAGTAACGAACTCTTGCATGAGATTCATCATTTATCAGCATTCAAAATTTTTACAAATTGCCACCTATATCCTCTTTAACCTCGTCATCAGTTGCAATAGTCATCGATTGTAAGTGGTTCAAGATTGGTTTTTGGTTATTCACACAATTTGGACTCGACTTGTTATCAGCGTGTGCTCATGATTTTTGCAATGTTTTCAAGACAAATTAATTAATAACATCATCATTTTGTTTATTGGTTTTGCAGCATGAACCTCCAAACACTTTCTGTGAGAAACCAGCTGGGTCGCATCTTCTGTTTTCTCCACGTCAGAAAAAAATGTTTTATTCCCGGTATCCAGCATCAACCCTTTCGAGGTTTTGCCAAGGGGACCAGTCGAGATCAGGATATGACAATGACATCGCGTCTCACAGGCAAAAAGACTAAACTATGGGAATTATATAATGAGGTCATTTATCCCCCATCGGAACCAACGAATGAGGGGTTTGTGGAGAAATCTCAGCAATTGCGTCCTGCCGAGATTACGTACACCAAAGACAATATCCTGTATAGCCAGAAAAAACTGTGGTTATTGGCTTTCATGGTACACCACTCTAATGCATGGTTGAAGTCAGATTTGTTGTGCCATATTGTAAATAATGTCCTGGATTTTAGATCCGTGGGTTGTCTGTGGATGAGGCATTTCAGCAACTGGGTTTCCGACCGGAAAAGGGTGCTAGGATCCTTGAAAATGTGTGTAAAATAGCTTTAAACGTAATTCGTTTTGTCGTTTTAAACTACAGGCCTCTAAGTACGTTGCACTGTCTTTTAGGCTCTTGAGGCTGCCATTGAGAAGGCAGTTGTTGAACAGGATGTTGAATTTTGTACAGATTTATGGATTGGTGAGCCTTCATTCGTGTTTTCATCTCTTTCATACGATTAGCTCCTCTACATTTGTGTAAAATGGTTTTACCAGACGCATTAATTAAATTAGTTTAGGTAGTTTCTTACCAAACCTGTTTTCTGCATCTAGTATGGGGCAAGATTAACAAATCTAGCGTGATTGATGGGAAGGTTAGTAAAGGTTACGTTCCATAGATTTGCTTGTTTTTTTCTGGTTTAAAAGGTGTCAAGATCAGTGCGGTTGCTGTCCAGGAAACTCAATGTGCTTGAAATTCTTAACTTGCACGATCAGTAAACCCTCGTTGCTAATGTACCCTTCTTAATGAATGTTGTATGGCTGTCCTTATTCACCACTGTAAATGGATACTTATTGATATTTTATGCTAAATGCCGAAGCTCCACATCTAGTTAACGATACGACAAATATTTGGACCTTGTTATTCTTCCGATTTCGTGGTTGCTTTATTAATACCTGACAGGCTTTATTTGCTTCAACGCACTACCAGAGAATACTAGCTTCAAACCAGCGTTACTGTTCTTATTAAAAACAGTCTTACAACACTTGTAGACCAACGGTTTTTTCATGTTTGTGGATTGTTAATCTTTTGTGTCTGCTATCACGACCTTCCTCAGGAGTGAAGCGCTGATAGCTTTATCAGTAACATACCTTGACGATCTGAGAATTCCGTTCCATGTGCCATTGTGTCACTTTTTGTTCGAAGCTAGGCTAGGAATTCAATAATTACAATTTGGTTCATCGGAATAAATTTATTTTATGAGGCAATTATAACAGAGCAGTCTAATTTCGTAGCTTTTACGTCTTGAGTAAGCATCTGAATTCTTTTCAAAAGGATGCAGTCATTGGTTTTTTGGTTAAAAATGCTCTACAACCCCCTTAATTTATATTTTGCAAGTACAAGGGGGTTTTCAGAATTAGTCACAGCAAAGTTCTGCTCTTCAGTGGTTTCCAATTTCCACTATTGGTGTTTCGTCATATCCCTATGATGTGGTTTAGTGTGTCCCCTTTAGTTATTGCCAGAGTCGACCAGTATCTCTGCTTAATCTCCTTTTATGATCGCAATTCTTTTATTCACTCCATTTATTTTTCGTAAATTGTATTGCTTTTCCCAGGCCCATTTTGGAGTTGTATTACGCGGCTACCTTGTTTTTTGTTCACACATTTCATCTTTCGGAAATAAGTGGAGCATGATGTTAGGAAAGCAGTTTCAAAAGTAGGTAGCTATTTGTGGCCCATGATGTTTCCTCGTTTTCCCTCTAGAAAAGACCCTGGTGCTTCGGGGTCTAGCCGTACCGCGTATTCACAAAGGCCTTCGAACCAACATCTCGACCTCGAATTATCACTACGCGCGGCTAATGCTCCGACTGCGGGAGGGGAGGCCCCCCGTCCTCTACCATCCTTATCGTATTCGCTCCTCTTGGCATCCAGAGCCCAATTGCCCGGCTGGCGGGGCGTCCGGCTGGGGCACAGCTGACGACATCCTCGACATTCAAATTCGAAAACTTCGAAGACGTCGCATTCCCGGAGAGCTCTAGATACTTTCCTACGAAGTAAATTGTGTGCCACTAATGTTTCATAGTTGCATCTTGATCTTGTGTTATTAAAGGAAGGGCTACAAAACGATTTATGTGTAGGAGTTCTGCGACCGTAACCAATTCCTTTTAAAAGCTTTATAACGGCTCTATTTAAGTATTTAGGTGTGAATAAGGTAATAGTTTAAAAAGTCTGTAGTAGCTTGAGTCCAGCACTACCATACAACCCTCTAGTTACCAACCCATAACAATCCGAGAATGGAATGAAGAGATGCGACAGAGGACACCACCGTTTATTAGCGTCACACCAGCCAAGTGTCTGTCTTAGTGTGTGGATGCGTGAACGGATGACAGGCGTCTGGTAAAGGTTAACAATGAAAAGGGGATAATTCATTTTCACCGTCAGGTCAGTAAACAGGATTCACTCAGGCACGATAGTGCTTATGTCAATTTGTTGAAGAACCTAAAATGTATTTTTTGGGGGCCAGTGATTGTGTACTCAGTTGCACAAGTGGCATGCCAAAAACCAAGCACTAGAAGCCGATTCAGTCGTGAAGAAGTAGGGATCGTCTCCAGAATCACATTCATCAGGCGCCCCATCTTGAAGAATCCCGAAAGGTTTCAACTTGAAAAGCTTGTGTTAGACGAAGTGGTTCGCCTGCATATTCAACACTACAGCAGGCATGTGCCTACGCGCTTGTTTTTCATTAGGTAAAGCTTGCTACAAGCAAGCGGCGGCACTACAAAACCGGTCGACCCTGGTCGAGAAAGTTACTGAACAGGGAAGTTAAAGGAACTTGAAAAGATTAATTTTTGAAGCAGATAATAGGTCAGTCCGCTAATAAATGTGGTGGTCATTTATGAAATCCAGCAGATGGTAATAAGATTAGAATAGGACGTCAACATGACAGTTTGCTCTCCAGTTGTAGTAGATCGTGATAGGTTATGTCTGAATTTTCGTTTATATAAGATGAATGCATAAGTGGCGAGGAAATGATATTAGCTTGTAGTATACAGCAATGAAACCTTTTCCTCTACTGCATAAAGCTATTTAGACGATGTCCTATTAATCGTTGTTAGTCAATGTGACCGATCGACTGCTAGGAAAGCTGTCCCTTATGTCGAGTCACCACTACGGGGTCTCTGGCCATGCTTTTTTTGATTTCATGGAGACAGCAGTAGCTTTGCGATAGAGTGTGCACTTGTGTTGTACGTCAGCCGAGGCAGGACGCTTCTGATGCCGAGTTCCAAGAGCTATGTGTAAAGAATTTCTGGTGAGACTACATGGACCAATTCGGTTAGTACAATCACAATGTCAGGATTGATCTTCCCGGTTGAAAATATGGTAAGTACTGTCAATTTCATCTCAAATCAGCTTCCGATCTCGCTGAGCCCTTCGATTGGAAGATTTGCCCTTGGAATATATGCCTGTTGTGCAAAATGAGAGTCGCCACTTGACATGGCTTGAATCGCCTTCCTTTATGGGCTACCTGACACTTTTAATTACATCGTACTAAAAAGGGTAAAACATCTGTGTCAGGCAAATTAAAATCCTGGAAATGAAGTAGACCTCCAAATACTGACTTGAGTGATTTTGACATAGTGGACTGTAAAGGAATGTAGACATTATTTTGCCCATTGAGACTCCTAGATAAGCAAACCGCTTTACCCGGATTGCCATCTTAAATCTTAAAATTTTTCTAAAAGGCACGAATAGGACACGAACCTTTACGTGAAATCGCCATCGATTATGTGCTCTCTTTAAAAGAATGCGATATTTGCTTTTAGTTAATCAGCCACATATATACTTGTCAATTATTAACTCAATGCGTAATTACAAAGTCTGTAAAAACCTCACGACGGCATCACTTTAATCCAGTCCATGTGGCTGTTTCCCACCACTGCTAGGCGGTAGAGACGAAGAAACTTCTACACCCCCAAGGGGACATTAGTCGTGCAACCACGAGTTGCTGGTGTTTATTTTCAATCGAATATTTAGCCTTTAAAGTGTAGGTAGGCAAGCGACAGTGTAAGTTCAATCACTAGCTTTCTTAATTTTGAACGCTTGTTTCTCAATATCTCCCAAGGTGTTTGTTGAAGCGGACTTTCAGTGACCCGATTTCGGAAGACATAATCTGTGGATGTGATTTCAAACCAGCATTATGGAGGTTTATTAGCGCTTAGAGAAATTGGTCTGACAATCTGTGTTGTCATTGAAAGGGAGGCATTTGACCAGCTGACGACAACATGAAAACAAACTTTTCAGATTTAAATTAATTGAAAAATGTATATTGGAGGTAATTCAACTCAACACGCTGTATTAGCCCTAGTAAAAGTAAAATTCGTGTCCCTACACTGTTTGGACGTCTTTTGCACAGCAACGAAATATTCAGTTTAAAGTTAAAGTGTGTACTTCAAAAAGGGGCTCGTGTTAACCCTGCGCTCTTTCACTTCAACATTCTCTACAGTCGACGATTTAAGCTCCCGAAGCTTATGGCATGTTTTGACTAGCACCAACGACTTATTGAGTGTGGTTTTATTTGAACCAAAACTAACTTGGATATGCTGCTTCTTTCTAAATGACTTGTTGTCAACGCGGGTTCATTCATTCTAACTCTCAAAACCAGATCTTAATACAGGCATGCTGGAGAGAATTTTAAACAGGAGTCGTGGACAAAATAATACTGTTTTCGTCATGATGAAAATTCTTGTGGTAACTTCAGTGTCTACCCTGGCATTTGTTGGTTATAGTTAGAAGGCGCTACAGTAAACCACAAGTCGACGTTATCGTTTGATTTTACATATTGGAATGCAAATATTTTGGGTAAGAGGGTAACATAGACGAGACTTGCTACTTAACACGTTGCAGCTGCGAAATATATAACCTGTCATCGAGAAGCTTATTCGAGGTTACAAAATTAGCCAAAGGGATACATAGGCACATTTACTGTGATTTGCACGTTTCGTCCGAAGGTACAGGCAATCAAGTACTTCAAAAAGACATTTGTGCATTAAGAAGAGGAGCGCTAAAAGTTATTTTTTGCGCACTTACAGATTACCTCTTTTTTGCGAAAAATTGATGTGTTAGCTGTTGAAACAAATTAGCTATGCACAACTTGCAGTTTATATTCGTTGGGAGTTTCGTCGTCACCATAGGCCCGATCACAAAAATACACCCTCCTGAGACGACAATTGGCGTTTATTCGAACTCGCGTGACTTCTCTCAGCCTTTGCTTATAGCAGTATTCCATTAGGCGATTTAAGTCAAATACAACAGTATTCCAACCTGGATGAAGGAACAACGGCATATTGGTACAAAACTGTCGAATAAGCGTGTGCTTCGTCGAGTTGCTGGCCCGAAAACGCCGCGGGAAGCCACTGAAGTCGATTGTCTCAATTTGGAACGAGAAGAATCTATTCATGTTTTTGAAAAGGACAACGAAAATTGGCATTCGGATGCCCAGAGTTGTTTGGCTACAAGCTGGGCATTCTATGTAAGTGGTTGTGACATTACTTCCCCGAATATCAAGAACAAGCGAACGAATTGCTGAATCGGTTAAGCGCTTTATACATCCAGATTTGGAGCAGATCTTCCAGTTTAAAAGGGGTTTTTGACCAACACTGTAGAATATTGATAGCAGTCCTGATTGGTATGATCCTCTATACATCCTTTCGTCTTCTCGTGGGGTAGGAGTGCGTGAAAGCGATTCGGCCTTATTGATTTTTTTGGGGTTTAAACAGCCTACCAGCCATGGTTAAAGGGCCAGTGTTTGTAGTGTACCGCACGTGTGCTGAGAAACTCAGCAGCGAATGCAGTTCACTATTCAGTTCGGCATTTCTACTTACATTGGAGTGAAGCGTACTCATTTGGGCGGTCGAGAAGGACACGCCAGAGCAACAGTGTATGACGATGCTGTGTATTGTAGTTCTGAAAACACAAAAACCTGATTCGCACTATGACGTCAAAGCTGACATCAAACAAACTCGCAGTACCATAAACGGTTTCAACTCCTATTCAAGTCAATATTTGTAGTTTTTTTTATATTAATAGACGTGATCATAGTTGAGGGCCAGTGGTTATCAAGACTTTTCTTTGCTAGCTTCTCAAAAAATGCCTCGCAGATTATTTAATGAAATTAATGAAGTTGAAACAATCCTGAACATTAAATCTGCTTAACTCGTCAATTGACTTAGTCCTTCCAAGAACTCGCTAAGTTTATGTGAGAACAGACTAACTCAATTAGGAAAACCAGTTTGCTTTATCTGGGAAATCCAGAACGACAATGCTTCTTTAATGTCAAGTAAAAGCAATAGCATTTATCTCGCTGCGAAATCGATGTTATTGGCCCCGTGCACTCATAGACAGCCGGACATCGAAATTAAAGTGTAAGGTAGATTTCTCGAGAGGGTTTAAACAGGCTGTTTAGGCCCCATTATTTCACACAAACCCAGCTTAAAACCAAAACTCAACTGTTACAATTGTCAATTAAAATAGGGAACCAGGGTTCTGATTGTGCAAATAAGCATGACCAGGCGTTCTGTGAAAACGTACTGGCTGATATTTGAACCCAACTGACGATAAAGAAGCCTGCGTTGAAGGAGAGATGCAATGGTAATTATCAACGTAATGTCTGCATTGGGTAATCGGATTTTTGTGCCGTGGACAAGCACAACTTGAACAGATAAATGCCGATTGACAGAGCTGGGGAGTATGTATATATAGATATGTACATGTCTCAGACGAGGACAAGAAAGTAATGGTAATCACATGGCTAGACAGTGGAAGGACTACAGTATTGTTCGAGGAAAGCCCGCTTCACCGAGACGACGTGGCGGGCCAACTTAACTGCCGCGTCCCAACGAAGACCTTTAAGGGAGTGCAGTATTTCAGGCGGGGAGAGAAGCATAAAGGCTCGACCGTCAACAGCTTCCGCTGCCAGCCACGGCCACAGTTCCCGACAGTCGGTCCTCTCTATGTACGCTGCGACGTCGGCTGATGTCCAGTGCATTGGATTTGAAGCCAGTGTAGGCACTTCAGCTACCTAAATTGCATTGGGATAAATCAACAGAATCAAAATAAAATAGATGAAGCAAGCTTTTGCTTAGTCTTCCTTGAATTCGAATGCCGTGGAGGGTCGGGTGTGACCTTACTTACCGCTCGGTCTTTTGCTAATACTTGGATTGGCTGGTTAGAAAATCCAAAAAAATTCTAGCAAATAATGCAATGAAGTCATATGGGGAAAAAAGCCACGAATTTCCCAGAACTAAGAAGTATTATTCACTAAAATCCTCTACTTTATCAAAAAGTGTTTCAGATTACGGTGCAAAGGTATACTTAGAAAGACTAAATTACTACTCTAAAGAAATTAAAATTTAATGTAGGGAACCAGGATCGACTTCAAGTTCGAGAAATACGGCAAATATGAATTTGCCTTGAATGTAACCGCAAGTTAGAAAGTGCAAGACAGGCCTCTTTCAGTGAGCAGTTCAAATCGATTACTTGACAGAACTACCCTAAAAACGCCGCAACCAGATTTGCCTATGAGAACTACAACCATGTGTTCAAAAAATGCTGCAGTATTGCTGCTCTAATAAAGAGGATGAAACTAAATGACTGACAGCACCGATATGAAGCGAGGAGTTGTGATACGTGAATTAAAATATGAAAGGAATAAGCCGTGACGATTACCCCACTTGAATTTAATTGACATAATTTCAAAACAAGTTGAATTGGACGATTGAACAGGAAAACGTTTCAATAGAGCAATCAATAGAAAACACTCCAAGAAATTGGAATTTAAGAAAAAGGATGCACTTGAAAACGAATAAACAGCTAAATCTAATGCGACAGTACGTCAAAATGATATTATTGTGCCATTCATAATCACTTTTTATTGTCAGCTTCGAAGATTGTGCTTATACAAGAGGATTTTTGCTCCCATTAGGTACTCATCAGATGGACAAACACGCGAAGGAACTAAGTTACGTAACCTCCAAGTTGTTTGAAGACTTTTGGTTTGCCGATACCTCGCATATTTCAAAATTTTACATACAAATATTTGAAGTTGTACACACATCAACAAGCTTTCCCAGATAATTCCAAGACAAATTTGGCTTTTGCACTTAAACACCTCTGGCAGAGAGTAGCCGGCGTACAAAGGTGCCTCGCGGAGATGAGTCCTCTCACCCCAAGTACTACGTCTAGGGGACTTCCCTCGACTTGAGGCACAAAGGATGACCCTATTTATAATATTATTATGGGCTTTGGCAAAGCTGACGATTTGACTAGGAAGATTTCATCACAACAAAAATAAAGGTACCAAGCCTAAAGTACGGCGAAATGAAAATGGAGCAAAACCGCCATGCTGCATGTCGCATTTGTCCAGTTAATTTTGTGCACAGGGCTTATTAATAAGGCCAAGATGCTAGCCATCAAAAGTTAAATTGCTTTGAATCAGCACCTGAAAGGCGTTACCCGAACACACCTCGTTGTTAGTACTCAAGGCAGCCCTCCGCTGCCTCAATAGCCGTTTTAGTCTTGAAGTGACCGCTCGAGTGGTTCGAAGAGTTTTCTGAGTATGGACTGCGTCTTCTTGTCCAGCCCCGTTTCCCTCTGAAGAATCCTCAGTGACGGGCAATGTTGGATTCCAGTTGTATAGCTGGGGCGGTACGAAAACGTGTGGGTCCAAAAGTTGGGCAGAAACCGTTTGAACTCGACGGCCACTTCCGCGTGGAAGCAAACGCATGTCTGGGTTTGTGAGGCTCGCTAGATTGGTGGCCGGGTCGTTGGAATTCAGAATAGCGCCGGAATTGGATTGGTGAGGCCTTTGGCGGGTACGGATGAGACAATGGCAGTTGATGGGGCAACTCTCCTGTGAGGCTATTCGACGGGTGCTCACAAGAAACGGGCAGGCTTCGAGTAAAAGACTTACCTGAATAATGCATAAAGGTAAAACGTGTCAATACCGGTTATAACGGGCGGATTAACACACTTAGTTCGACCCAGTCTTACAGTGATTTGACAATGATTAACTGACCAAAAGGCCAATTGGCTAATAAATAGTGGTATTTTAGTGGTATTTCACAGTTCAGGCAGAATTTTATCAGAAGGCACTACCGAAAGGGATTAATCTACACACGTTTCTCAGAAAAATGGTGAGGCAATTTTGCAGGCACCATTAAAGAACTACTCTAAAATCGTGAAACATGGACGATGGGAACGCTTCGCACATACTGAATCCAGCAAAGGAAAATATGTGGAAAGCTGAATGATGGCTTACATAAAAGGAGCTAGTCACCTCAAAAGAAGCGCAACGGTTAAGATGTGATTTGCTAAACATATGGATCCATAAAACTAAAGTAATCCATAAAAACTGCTTGCCGTGCAGCATAGTACGCAAGTAAAATACTTTATAAACACCACAACTCAGAGAGTAGAAAATGCACGTTTGATAGTTACTGTTGTACTCAAATATACACCTAGCAATTATAATGAATAAGCCAAAATATTCATTAACCCTGGAAGCATTAAGAGTGTGACTACATAAAAGGCATTCGAATATAGTCTACGGGAAATTACCTGTAGACAATACTCTTCGACCGCTCGTCTTCGACAGCAAATTTCAACAGGAGCCTCGATTTTTGTTCCTTTCCTCGGGCACCGGACTCGAATGAGAGCTAATTGCATACCCTCATGCCTCTGTTCAGCAGCCTCGAGCAAGGCCTCATCGCGTTTTTTGGAGTTACCACTAGTAGAGGCATTCGCCAGGGCTGTGGCCCAATCGGACTCGAGAAGGCGGAGCACACGGACTGATTTGAAAGCGGCGCCGACAAGACGAGTAATAAGGGTGTGCAGGTTGCGAACGATAGGGCCCGGACCAAACTGACATGGAAGCTTCTCCAGATCCGACTGGGCGAACAAAAACGAACAAGTGCAACAGTTGTTAGCTTGTAAATACAAACCGAGCCTTAGGTGATCAGCATGCATAAGCACGGTAATAGGCATGACTAAACAGATATTTTAAGATATAAGGCTTACCACAAACAACTGAATTGAATTAAGGGCATACATTTGGCTACGAATGCCAATAAAACGCTGTAAGGGCGCAAAGCGTAAATAGAGCAAGGGTGGTAGATTATATATAAGACGTAAGCTCGGGTTCAAATGTTTTTTTTTAATCACCCAAGCAAATACCAAGTCGAACCGAACAATTAACGGTGCATGGTAATTAATAACTGATAAACTAAACCGAAATAACAGCAATCAGCAGTCAGCTAACATAATAATGTGAATTGGTTAGATTTTTGTGATATGCAACATGTGATTATAATTTGATTGAGATAAGTTAGCTATAGTTAATATTTGCAGCTGGTGTATAAATTTTAACAACAAAGGAGAGACCAATGCATTGCCAATGAGATGAATTAATCGTGTGGTCTTAGGAATTACTAACGTTGGTTGAATGAAGTTGCAATCACAATATAAAGGCCCACGTACTTATTTAATTAAGTAAGCAGCTACTAGCACAATAAGCGCAAAAGTATCACGCACTTGGCATATGTAGGGCCCGGGGTAGCAGGAAGAATTGATATAGATGGGAGGGCATATGTCTGATTCACTGTATATCCCAGATATGTCTAGCGTTCCCGAAGCAACGAAGGAAGATTGCATTGGCTGGGCAGGGTTACTCCACAGTGGAGGGCGATCTACTTTAAGAGGAGGTGGGTTGGTGTAAGACATGGGGGGTACGAAAGGATGACCATTGGCTTTACTCCAACCCAGGGGATATATTTCTGTGGAGGAACACTCAAATAAAATGGGCTTGTCCAGAGGATATTTAGGATTTGCGTTTGAATTCCAGTCACCTGCTAGGTCAGGCAGAAGCCAAAGAAGACCTGCTTGGGCACGAATAACAGTCGCAGTGCAGAGAGGGCTTTCATGGAATTCAATCCTACCACTCTCTGAAAATGAAATGTGATTCCACATGGAAGATGGGAGGGCCATTTCGAGTTTCATACCAACAAAAAAGTCCTTTAGTGTGGATAGCCCGGCGTCCGTGCCAGTCTTTGACGATGCGAGTTTGAACAAATCAAGATTTGACCGTCGTGCATTCGTACTGCCACTGTCACAGCTTCTCATATAAATACATGAATCTGGGGTAGATTCGCTGAAAGCTTTCGGTTTTAAAAGATGATTGTAGAAGAATCGGTGAACGGGTGTGGACAGATGTTTTGCTAACGATTGCTTGGAATGGTCTGTCCACTGATAGGAGGAAGAAGGACATGGTACTTGAGGTGGAGAGAGTTCTGACATAAATGCGAGGTAGTTATGCCACGTAAACAGTCTATCATTCGGCCAGTTTTCTGGTGGAAGTAAGTGGAACCCGTAAAACTGGCTCATGTTCGGAGGCATTATCTGGGGCATGCTCATGTGACCAATGAATTGTCTTGTATGGTTCGTTTCAGCACCATCTGGTGTAGGAAGAGCATCAATTTTGACAACAAAGTAACGATCTGAGATGATCTACAGAAGTAAAGTAATAAGATCACAATGAAGGTACCTTTGTGACGGTAGCAGGAGAAGCCCCGTAGGGTGTCATATTATCAAAAGCCTCAAGTTTGAGGCCTACATGAACGGAGTGTTTGGGAGGTTCCTGGGAGAAAGAAAATTGATTCGGAAAAAGGAAACCATCTGTGCATTTTCCCGTTAAATCAGGAATTCCATGTGGCAAATTATCGAGAAATTCCTTATTGACTGTTATGTCCTCAGGAATAACGTAGCCGTCAGGGGGCCTGTAGCTATATCCTTGAGATAAGGCCCATCCGAGTGGATGAATCCTTGGATTTAAAAAAAACAGTGAGAACACAGGATCTTCTCCACGAACTTCTTTGAAGTTATTTGAGAGTTCGTAAACTCCTTCAGAGGCTATATATTTAGCTTCTACGCCAAGCCATGAAACGACAATACGGCCTCCATACAATTTGAGAATCTAACGAAATATAATTTTGATTTGAACTAATTTTACCTTGACAAACCATACTGCAGAAGGATCAGAGGTAAGTTTGCACTCAAGGTAGCCGCCTATTCGAAGAAGGTTGTGGAAACAAATGGATCGATTTTCAAAAAATAGATTAGGAACACTGCGACGAAACACTGAGAGACCCCATTCGGTTTGCAGCCACCTGTTACTGAGATTACACTGTTTCTTGGGTGACGATGGACGTGCATCGGAAAATGAACTGGCAATCGGAGGAAACCACCGCACGCCCGAAATTTCAGACCAACCAACTGGATGTATAAAATTCCAAGTCGCGCTATTAATGGATAACCAGAAGGGCGAGATACTAGCCTCTTCTTGGTCAGCCGGTAAATCGAAGTGCTCAAGGAATTCTGTGAACAACACTTCGCTATTGCAATTTTTTTGAGAGATCCTGAGATCATGTGGAAGGCACCATCGCAATAATAAGGACGTTTCGTTGGACATTAATATTTCACAAGGCCAACAGAGCCTCTCATTCGAATGTCTTTCCTTAAGTGCAGGCACTGCAGCGAATTCAACTTCCAAAGTGTGCCCAACAAGAAAACCCAGTTCTAAACTTCGTTCGACATGCTTAAATAAGTGGGCGGGGGCGACTTCTGAGCCAGTCTCGGACAAAAATGTAAACAAATTAAAGGTCCCCGACATTACAATAGAAAATTATTTCTTTGAAGCCAGATATCGCCTATGAAGCAAAGTTCAGAAAAATGTAAGGAACCGACAAAAAAGCATGAGAAAGCAATAAATAAAATTTTGTCAAAGTTTGATTTCTTTTTTTCGAAATAATTCAAGTAAATTTTAGTGACCAAAACTTCTTATTCAGTCAGGGAATAGGCGGAAAAATTTTCTGTAAGGCGTTCAATTTTTTGCAGACGAATTTGATTAGTAAATAAAAAAATAATCTATGAGCTCCAAATGCTTGACAAGACCCCACTACCAACCCGCGCACTTAAACAATCAATGAAATTTATTAGTGATTAAATGCAGGAAGGAACAAATGAAGTAACTAATTCAAAAATAATTAATCGAAAATAGACTTCTAAAGTTAACTCTCAGAAAATGGTACCAGGTTAACTCATATTAATTTATCTACTTTTGGAAAAAAAACCAATCATTGGTTAAATTCTGGAATGAAGAATTCTTTAATAAACCAACATTTTGGCATTATTAATATGTAAAAAGGCTTCTTCAGGCGGAGAAATACAATGTAGAAATTATTGTACCTTCGTACTTTTAATTTGATCGGTTTCCAAAAATTTTGTTTATAGTTGTTAGACATTGGTTTCCCGAAGACTTCTGTATTTTTATTTTTAATTATCCACTTTTTATTGCGTTAGTATCGTTATTTTTACTGCTCTCTTTTTACTAGATCTCTAACCCGCCATTTTAGAAACAACTTGAACCTTGGATTTAATAGAGAATGTTAATTTTATATTGACAAGTAACATCAACTGAAATTAAGTCAATTTGAGTTAAAGCTTGTTTAATCTATTTCTCAACTCATACCCGCTTTCTCAAAATGTATTGATACAATTGACTTGGCAAGACCTAAAGTCAGTATGCTATGTCAATATCACTTTGTCCATATCTATAGATTTATGTGTGCAATCAAAAACCTAAGCACTATCCGACGCACTAATCATCTGAATTTTATATTTTGAAGTTTGTCTTTAGCTAAGAAACCATATTTCATTACAACTTATTCTTTTTTCAATCGTCTAATCTAAGAAAATGCGTGAGTATAAAATTGAATCCAAGTTTTTGTTGTGGGATGATTTTTGTTCCATTTTTCTAGTTATTTGAAGGAGTTAATCTAATCCTTTTTATGTGACAGAAATCTGAGGTAATCGAGGTGAATAACGACATATTAGTTGTTAAGTCATTTAAAACTTGACCTATTAAAAAAATGCCAAATAACACAGTTCAAAACATTGCGTTCCAAAATCATTATTACTTGAAAGGAATTGCTAAATTTTTAGCATTTTTCGCTATCAAATGTCAAAACACAGAAACAGGGCAACTGGATACACTTCCTTTCGTTAGTGAGTTATCGACACCACGCAATTTGTAAACCAATGTTCAGGCACGAGCTTTTATCAAAAGTCTACTTCAAATTTATTTATTGCTGTTCCTTCCAACTTGTGATTCTTGTGTTGTCTTGCTAATCCGAAATTACTGTAAATGTAAGTGCTCAAAGTGATTGTTGTGAGCCCCTGCATGTGGTCCTGAACCACGCTGGGGCCACTGAATTAACCCTGGCCCGATTACGCTTGCCTGATACCCGCGATGAGGGAAAAGGCCGAAGAGGACGGATACAAGCGTTTACTTCAGAGGTCAACCACGTTGGTGTCGTTGTGTCGTGTGTGGTGTTTGCGCGTGTGTATGCATAGCTCGGATGTGAGTCATACATGCGCTAACATCGAGACCTATGTGTGGGGACACTCCAAGATATATATTCGGGCTAATGAATGGGGAGTTGAGGAATTGAGTGGCTGGCGACATGCTGCGACAAGGGGAATCCTGTGTCGGAGGTGGAGCGACCGGATTAGGGGGTTGAAAAAACAGGATTAACGTAATGATGATTAATGAAATGAAGCCACTTACAGTTTTGTTTCTGAGCTTAGGTATCAATTTTGTTTCAAGTATCTTTAATTCTGTTAACACTTTGTACTGGCATCTTAGGAGGTCAATGTTATGATCTTAGATGTGGACGCATGTATACCAAAAACAAATTTGATACTTTCTATAGCGCACATTAGGTTAGGGTGTGTTATTTTTTTATTATGTCATGTTTCCAACGTAATGTAAACACTATAATTTAAACTGTCATGCAAAATTTCTAATTAACATCTTTTAAGTCCCGAATACTTCAAAATCAATTTAGGTCAGATGCAGTGTGTGAAGCGATGTCATTCACAGGATTTAAAAAAGAGCCTATGTGTAAAAAGTGAGAGCTATGTTTTAGAAATGTGTTGCCAGTTTTGACATGGTGACGTTTATTATTCCTGCTAAGAATTAATTGTTATCAGATGTGAACTTTACAAAATTTGAGACGAAAAACAAGATGATAATCAACTTCAGGCTGTTTTACAGATATAAATTAGTTCATTGATAGACACTGACAAAAAGCTTAATCCCAATCACCGTTTTGCTGACAATCTATTAAGGTGATTTCATGGCTGGCAACATGTGAACTTCCCTAACCATTGCAGTATTTTCACGTTAATATATGTTCTACTACACTGATTTCGTCTGGCCATCATTGAAAATCGTCCACTGACAGGATTTCCTTATATTGTATACATTTAAAATGTAATTTTTGCTATTTACTCTACTTATTGTCACAGCAACCTGCTCAAAAAATTAAAAGTTCAGGGTCGCTCTTGTTTTTCGTCGCTTCCATCTTTTCAACGAACGAATAAATAATCTAATGCTTAAAATACCAATAATAACATAATTCCCTTTTTATTAAATTAATACGTTTCCATATATATGATCAGGTATAAAAGGAATAACTTTACTTAATAGCTTTTCCAATTTTTGCAAAATCAATAACGATTTCGAATAGCTTTATGAGAATTTAATATGTGCCACTTGTGCTAATCTTCTGATTCATTAATTGCAAACGATTTTCCACCGCAAAGACTTTAGTTTAATTAACTGGACTGAATTTAGGTATTAAATTTGATCTTTAAACATGGCTGTACGAAGAGCGTCGACAGCAACAGCTGTTGATTGAAGTATTTTAAGATTTTATTTCCTACTTGATAAAGGGATTAATCTCTAAACACATTCAACGTATATTTGAACAACAAGTACATACCGCTGTTGGTAAGAACAAAAAGTGACTGAAACTAATATAGACAGAACTGTGTTATGGTGGCTAGTACACAGATGCAAAGTGCCTAGCGCCGTTAGTCGATTACCTCAAGTGCACACTGTCGGCCTACTCATACTAGCATTTACAATGAACGGGTACATTTCACCGACCCGCCAAACTAATGCATGAAAGGATAAATAGTCATTCAGATAGTTTTTGGTGTCTCAGGCAAAGGCTAAGTTCAGGTCAACATGCGGATGATTATATGTAGCGTCGACGGCCTTGAGTGCGGGTAAAGGAAATAGTAATCTAAGTGTTGAATGGACCGGTAGGAAGAAGAATACGAATATGACTAAAAATGATAACAAAAAATATAAATTATATTAATCTGTAAATATGTATTCTAAAGGATTTTAAACTTTAAGAACGAGAAGGAATATGGTATACAAATTTTAAATTCCAATTATGTTTAATCAAAACTTATTGCAGCTGTAGTTTTAATACTTGGTAATTTTAGACAGGAATAAATTTATACTGGGAACGTATGAGCAGGCTTGCGTTCGTGGGATGCATTTACCCTCATTTTAATTTTTTTTCTACAAATCATTTGTTTTTACTAGATTATATATCGCGACGCCCATTGCGTGTTGTAAAGCTGTTCATGAAATAAGTCCACTTGAGTAATGAAAAAACATAAAGGGTCTTCAAGTTTAAATCTGGTCTAAAATTTGTAGTAAATCGTAAAGCTAGATTAGTGCAGATGAAGTAATTTTGGCACATAATTGTTGAGATAAAATAGATCTTTACGGATTTAACTGCAAGATCGATTCCTTAATTTGGACGTCACTTTGTGTAAATGTGGCGAAAAATAGAGCATTAAATTTGGATAAATTCAATAAAGTTACAGATATAAAAAACGTGTCTTACTCTTTGTTGGATCCAATTTTAGCCAATTTAATGTAAATAATAAATGACATCTTGGTGTGAACTGATATGACCTAAAAATATTACGAAGTAAAATCACGTAGTCGAAAACATTGCGGCAAGATACCAATTTTAATTTTGTTTTCATGGTGCAGAAAAATAAACACACTTGATTAAAGTGTCAAAAATAATTTTCGTCAGCATGATACTACCATGTGCTAAATGAATGCTAATTATTTAGTAATTTACCTAGGACTCTTCTCTGTTGTTGTCATCTCAAGTCCTGATATGTGGCTTTTTTACTTACATAATAGTTTTAATGCTTTTGTATCACTATTAGGCCAAATTGTGTTTTTTGATTACCATTTGTCTAACATCTGCAGTTTCAACATCTAATCAGGAAAGATATAAGCATTCTGCTGCATTTTTACTGAGTGTCAAATTTCATTAGTGCCATCTCTACATCAGCACCGAGCGCTGTTAAGTATTCCCCATTCAATCAAACATTATTTTTAATTAGTGACTTCAAATGCACCTTTTCGGCACATCAGAATTATAATATTTTTACAAAAAAATTTTAAAATTGCTAACGAATATATTTTTTTTAGTTAGTAGTTTTACTCTTTGCCATCAAACGACCTTCGTTTGTTTTTCTAACTCGATTTGCCTTGATCTTATAAAGTCCAATTTTAATTCACGTGTTTCGTGTGTAGCTATTCCATTAGCGCACGTTTATTTATTTGCAATCAGATTAGAATCGCAATTAGCACAGAATAATTTGTAGACGATTTATGGCTTAGACTTAATTTGGCTTGTTTTTACACCTGGTGTGCTTTTCGTCCATGATGAAACTTTTAAGTCTTAGGTTTTTTCATTCTGTGACGTGCATTTACGAATGTGAATTTTAGCAGCCATGTTTTTTAGTATTTAGTAAAATTTTCTCTGAATCTGGCACTGTGACAAAATTTATGTATATGCTTTAATAGTAACTTTTTCGTAGGACGAAATCTCGGTTCTCATCCCCTTTTCATTTCATTGAATTCAATTTTCTATGAAATGCAAATTAGAATTTAAGCAGTTACTACTTCTGCTCTGTTTTTAACATGAGTTTGGTCGTCTCTTTGATGCTTTTAGGACCTCTGTCTTGCCAAATGGCTATGACGGTTGTGCTTCTTCTTTACATGTTGTCTTTGCATTCTAAGCTTGCTCTGTGTAATGGGATTTCTGTTTGTATCCTTGAATAACTATAGATGTGGGATCCCACGGTTACAGTGTCTAGATTTTTACGTAAAGCTGTGATCTTTTTATCCTGGAGGTGTCTGTTTTTATTGCATTCTCATGCAAACTTTGTGGTTATTTATATAATCTTTATTTTTGATTCTGAGTTAGGTATTTTGAGTGCTTTTTTCGCCTAGTTAACTGCGAAATAGCCCATAATTTGTAAATGCACTGCGTTTTACTTTATGCAGTTGATCTGTCTTTCTAAACCATTTTCTTTAATTCAGCAGTTCTTTTTTTGCTACTCTGACTTGCTATTTTATGAATGGCTCTTGTTTTATTTGTGCAAGCTGTGTGCGTTTGTCGGCCATAGACTAGTGTGTTTTGTTTTCTGACACCATCAGGTAGTAAAATAAATAAAGTTGTTTGCTTGCCGAATCCAACAAACTCTAAGTGAAGTGCCAACACATTTTCATAGTCCGATACTTAGCTATTGTTTTCCATTAAACGGTTACCCACGCTAAAGCCTGACTCCGATTGCCTATTGCTTTTGTTCGCTTGCAACGGGGATCTGTGGCCCTCAAAATCACTTCAAACGCCAATTCTGTGGCCTTCCCTATTAAATATACATGTGTCACCTGAGGTACATTTAATTTTTCTTTTAGTCAATCGGTAATTGTGTAACCACTAACGACAAATGTTATGTGCTTTATCAAACTAGGTGTTAGACTGTCTACATTTTCAGGTGTTTTTGTGCCACAAATGGCTTATTGCCTCTCTTCCAGAAGTACGGAACTTTAGCCCATTAATTTAGTCTTGCCTTAATTTGGACGTTTACTTAGAGTCAGAATTTTGCTTATCCTGTACCTAGCCTCTTGTTCTTGGTGCTGTTGTTGTGAATACACCTTTGCGATGTTGTGGTGAATTTAAGGCTCCTTTAAATCGACAATATGTTGTACATTTTATCATCTTTGATTCATGAAACTTCATTCACAGCATTTCAAGCAACCATAACGTCTTGATGTCTTTCAACATGGACCACGTAAAGGAGTTGGTCTGGATCACATACCCCTCATCCTTGAACAAGTTACCAACGAAAATGATTTTCACACGCGCTTTCTTTGCGTACTTAGTTTACAAATTTTTGTAATCCCGTACCTTAAGAGATTGTTTTAAAGGTGTAGCGTCGCAGTCTCGGAGATCATTTGAAGAGAAGGAAAGTTTGCCAACGTGTGTTAAAGCCACAAATGCTCGGCCAGGTTCGTTAAAGTACATTTTATGTTGCTAACGTAGTCGTCATAACTATTTGCGTTGTTATATTTTATAGTTAACTCCAAATCAGGAAAACATTCGTCAAAGTACTACAACTCTTTGACCTACACACTGTCTCTTTTGCAAAACACCGAAACCAGCTCAGAGGATAGCGAATCGGATTCTTCTTCAGATTTTGCCGAAGAAGGGCAAAAACCCAAATCCGAGTGGGTAGCATCAGGCGGAGAACTAGCTCAGCCGCCTTCAGGATTGGTCAGTGGGAAAGACTTCGATTATGCGGTATTGATTGAACAAATGCGCGCGCTTGGACTTCCCACCAGTTTTGGTGGTCCTTCCCGTCTAAATCCAAAGCGGCTTCCATCAGCTCAATTTAATCAGTAAACGTTTTACTTAAATCTTTGCAGTAACCGGTATTAAAGCAATGTACTATTCTCACTTTTTCCACAGGAACTATTCGGTTGACGACCTAGATGGGCTATTTTTAAGTTGTCGAAATGATGAAATTGTATCGCGTTCGATTACTCACAGTCTCACCGATATTTTTAGTGGTGAGTATTTAACTTCCGTTATACATGAAAACCTTATTTCTTGTTACTTAGTAGTTTTAAGCACCAACTGAATGCATTCAATTCTTCATTGCACATCGCACAATATAGCCTTCTATTTTTACTTAACCACCCATTTCTAGAGCACACATTTATGGATTCGATTTTATTTGTCACCTGCGCATGCTTTAAGCGTTTCTGTTACTGTACCAAATGTTCTCATTGAGGGGACACCCTACCTTCGTCCCTGCAACTGAGCATTTTAGCGCCAACAGGGCACTCACCGTCTTTTGTTAACGGTACATGTAGGGTTTATGGTTTACTTGCATGAGTCTTGGTTTTAGTCAACTCCGTGTCGGTTTTCTACCTGAACTTCGCTCGGCACGTGACCGGAGTAAATTTAAGTTGTATTTTGGTAGGCTCAGTAAACACAAAGGTCGCAAAGTAGTGTCCCTTAACGTCTAATTGTTTTTACACAACCACATTAGCAAATTGACTCGTGGTTTGACTATTTTATCAAGCATAGAGGTCTCATCCGCGAGCTTTTTACTTGTCTAAGTACCCTAAAAGAGAGAGCTTCAGGAAAGTTCTTTTTGCATGTAGTGTGTTGACATGGAGGGCTTTTTGCCTACAAACAACATTCACGTGTCCTCGACAGCATGAATTAGGGTAAGAACTTTCGACTGTTTGGTCGCATCCCAGGTGGTGTGGGCGCGTTAAACGTATTTTGTTGTTCCCGTCCTCAGCCGTTAAAGTAGCAGTCCACTTTAATTGGGCTCTGACATCTATCCACACATGTGCTGGACTGGCGCGCTAACATGACACTGCTGCAAAACAGGGCTTGCTTGTGTTATGCAACGATTGAAATCATTTGCCAAAAGGTAAAATTCAACCATTGCTACGGCGTTGTATGTTCGTTGTTAAGTGTTTTAGTTCACTTTTGGCTGTTTTGAGACCCGCATGGATTCAGAATTTCATGGACCAACTTGGCTTCTGTACAGCGAGAGCCAGTGTATTTCTTCGTGTTCCACATTTTTGTGCACATGCACACACGCACACATCTTGTACAATGTTTTAGCAGTTGTGTGGTGCAGTGACTTCCGCAAACGCCGTTCAAATGTTTCAAGGTCTGGGAACGCTTTACTAATTTAGATGTCTCATATTGCCGCTGTTTTTGCTCATTTAGAGACTTCGTTTCACCCAGATCTTCCACGTGAATGGGATGACAATCTGTATTCAGAAGCACAATGCATTTTATCGGTCATTTGTCGTGTTCTTGGACATGGCTTTTGCCTTTCTCAGTCCTGGTAAGGCATTAAACAGGGTTCTAAGTGACAGGACTTTTATGCAAAGGCCTCATACTTGCTAACGGCCATGGCAGAGGCCATCGCTAAAGAAGGCGAAAAAACCTCCGGCATGCAGGTTGTGTGTTAAGTAACATAAAATTGCTTTTATGTTGCTTTGCTCTCTTCACTCCACTGATGAGTTCTCTTTGCTTCTGCATATACCAAGTCCTGCGTGTTTTCAGATCAAATTTTTTAACTGGCTGGATGTAAAGCTGAGCCTTGTGAATTGTTTTGCGCGGTTACACGCCTCCATTTCGAGCAGGCCCACTTGCCCTATTCCACGTGTCTCGTTTTTAGCCAAGTATTGACGCTTATTGATGTCTATCTTGACTTCTCATCCCGCATCGTAACCGATTCGTCTTTTAACTGTTAATTGAAGGCAACTTCTGTGCGCGGGGCCCCGCATGTAATTTTTTTGATCGTTTTTAGCATTCAACTACCCAGGGCTATGCAATTCCGCTTACCTGACTCCTGGCGCCATGTGAATCCACTGAATGCAAGACGGAACATCCATTGTGAGTTGTTTCTAATTCTTAAAATTGCTTTCTGAATTGTCTAAAACGATGCGAATGCAAAATAAGTTCATCCGAGTTCCAATTTCGTATTATCTCGGCTTTTTGCCGATGAAGTAAGGTATAACTAATCAAACCCATCCTCGTATTAGGAAGCGACATTTTTGATGGTAGATTCGTGTTGTGTTTGTCACTTTAAGATCCCATAAATGCTCGTGAAGTTGCTTTATAATCACACCTTAAACTTTTGTTCGTCTTGGGACACTCGAAGTTAGCTGGCACTTAATTTACACCGGTGTTTAATTTAGGGCTAGTGTTAGTAACTTTCCTCAAGAAGAGGTTGAAAACAAAATGCCAAGAAAGCTCATGTGGAATACATCAATGGCTGCGTCAGTCTACCTGTAGGTATTGCAACAAGTTAAGCCAATCTTCGTTACGTATCGAAGTTCCTGTGTTAGTCGTCGTAAAAGTTCTCTTGAAGTGACCTTTTTTGTATTGAAGTAGTGTTGTTTGTAGATAAGGCGATTGGCCCATGAAGACACTCGTCAGAAATATTGCTTTGACTTATTGACGCAATTTCCAGAATTCACGAGGATGTATATTGCAAAAATAAGCGTGGCTCTGGTGGTTCGTATTATCTGTTGAAATTCTCGTAGCTGAATCACCTTAGAATACTTTTCCATTTCCACCGTCCCACACCGATACTTAACTGACTCGGAATAAAATGCCATTAAACACTTTCAAAAAATCAAAATGCAAGCAGAGCGGCTGGTTAATCCTTGTGACAAGCTCTCCAGCGGTGACAGCATTTCGCAGATCACGTCAGCAGCCATCATTTGACGATTGATAAAACTGGATTTTAATCGAGAACTGGCCGTCGAAAGACCGTATTTGCAAGTAAAACTGGTTACCGAGTGCTAAACAGGCATCTTGTTACTCCCTAAAGAAGAATTCGCTACGACGCATCTGAAGGAAGCACTAGGCTGATAGGTGCATTTTTAGAAGCGAGAAACCTTTTTTAGTTGGACTGGCCATTACGTCAAGTGAATCCGTTTCGCTTGGCTTGTTTAATGGTGCTGCCCTGATGGTGCTGCTTGTGTGGTAATTAAATTTGCCTGGTAGTGAGCGACAGACGACGGCGTCCACCGGTCTCTGTACTTCCGCGCGCAAACCAAAATATGCGGGTTGTCCACCAAACCCTAGAATTTCAAGCAGTGCGACTAATGCCTCTGCACACACCACAGAATTGCCGTTAAGCCAACGCAGTCGAAAGTCTTCTGAATTTCTCTTTTGTCGAGACAGACTGCAAATGGTCCTTGAAAGTGGGTTTGCGTCACTCCTCTTTAGTGCATCTCGCCGGTCAAATTGAAATTCACTTTGCTCTTTTGCGTAAAAGAGGGCCCTTGTGGAATCTGGTGACATTCCCAAAATTGCCCAACCTGATTGTCGAAAGATTTCAGTAACTTAATAAATTTAGACATTGGTTTTCCAATGTCTTGGAACAAGTTTTATTGACTCTTCTCTCATTTTTGATGACTGTGGCATATCCTGGTATTTTTAGACCCTATTGCACACCATATCTATATCCATATAGAAATGGAAATGCGTGTATGTGTGTGTGTATGTTATTAATTTCGTAATTCAGAGTTAACTCTGTGGTTTGTCGTTAATTGTGCACTTCGTTATTTCGGGTTTTTCACTTTCCTAAAGTATGCGTGTGTGTGGGCGCTTTTTTGTTGAACTTCTTCAGCTCTTTGTGCCCAAAAGCATATTTTGCGCCAGGCTGGTTCTGGCGCCATAGGACGTCCCGCCAGCACCGTGAATTTTTCGATTTGAAGAAGGCAACTTCTGCAGTTATTCAAAAAAAGAAACTAACCCATCCAGCCTTGGCTTCATCGGTATATTTTTTGGGTAAATCACCCTTACTTCCAACCGAAATCTTACTGTCTCTTTGGCTTGCACTTTATCCTTGTTATCACTGGAGCATTTTGGTTAAAGTGTATCAGCCAATTAGTGTTAGCTTTTGTTTACTCGGGATGAGACTTCCCTGTTGCTCGGGCTGTCGGGCGGTGCTTCGGCTTCGACTTAGCAAGCCACAGTAAACGACCCACCTAGCAACCACCTATAACCAATCGATTTTAATTAATGGCTTCCCGTGTTTTTTTAATGCTCGTGGTACGGCCGCCAAGTTAACGACGTTTTTGCGTGTTCAGCCTTTAATTACAGCCTTTCAGTGCTCCGATTTGTCTCGTCCTTTTGAGTTGCCGGCAACATTTGAAGGTTTACACGCGGGTGTCTCAGACTCGTCGTTGCGTTTGCGCCCCACAGTCATTCAACTCGCCAAGCGTACAAATTATTGTAGTCGGAATGAAATACGAAATGTCGTCTCCAAAAAAATCCATTTGACTTTTCAAACCAATAAAGTTTTGGCTTTCCAACCTGCCACTAAACTACTCGTGGCGGTTTATAACAATAACTAAGCGAACAAGTGCCATTCAACGGGTTCTCACATACTTAATTTTAAACACAAGAGGCTGATGATAATCTAACTAAGATTACCGTACATACTAGCAGATTGTAAAAATCACACTATTATTAATATCCTAAAACAATTTAATTTGTTATCGTACGTAACTTGGTGGTTTGCTCTTGTATTTGTTACCCACTATGACTTTGCTTCTCCCGAGTTTATCGCCCTTTTTATTTTCTCCAACTGAATTTGTTACGCGAATTTTGGCTCACTGAAACCTATATGATGTGATGATAATGAAACTAAGTGGTAGATATCTGTCTTTTTAAAACACATTAAATTTATTTAGTTTGAGCTGTCCTCATTTTGTTTTTGAACCCGAGCATCACCGACATGAACAAAATGTAGGAAATTGTCATTGAGAGTGTTTGCTTTCTAGGTTCTATGATAACTACAATGTGCTGTCTCATGATGTCACAGAGAAATGGGAAGGCAATTTAAAAAATGCAGTAATAAATGTAACAAAAAACAAGCACCTTTATCTAGAACGGTCCCTGTATTGCAATGCCGTTAAGTACTATGAAATTTTGTCGGTCCACAAAGGAATGACAAGCTCTTGATTGAACAGTCATTGGTGTTCAGCGTTTGTTGTCGCATGCACAATGAATGCTTGCAACGACTGGCACCAGTTTTTGAAGTCTGTGCGCTGGCAACCTTCAAATGTTGCGCTGCTAGTTTACTAAAAGGTAGTACCCTGCTTCAAAGACCCTCACTAGAAAGAACAAAGGCCATGAAAATAACCGAATATTTTGCCGTACCTGAGGCGATAATTGAATAGGGTAGCGTCACCGGAGAAATGAAGGGATAGGAATAAGAAAAGCAGTAGAAAATTAATGTGGCTGTATATCAATGTGTCAAAATTCTTCCAGAAACAAATTCGGCAAATTCCTACTCAAACAAAAGGAATTTAAGAATGAGCCATCCACGAAGAGGTTTTAAAGGACCGACTAGACGGGTTAAGATGTACTGAGGCTTCTGTTGATAAGCCCACTTCAGTTTGGGGAAGCGTTTGCTTCGCCGGTGGGGTCTGTTGTGAGCCGAAATTGACGGTGGCCTTTTCAATGCCGGTTCGGGCGATAAAACAATTAGCGACTCAGCCGCCACAGAAGTGAGAAGCCTGGGGTTGCTAGGTGTGGCTCCACATGTTCTTTTTCGTAGGTCTCCTGCGATTTCTCCGCCCTCAAGTCACTCATGCCTCATAAGTGAAATATTCTCGGGAATCGATCGATAGGTTTGTTGCATTGCCTTTGAAGTTATACAACCTCCTATTTAGCTTAGCTTCATGTTTTCTGATCATCGCTCGGGACGTCTAAATGACCATCTCTTCTGGCGGACATCGTCACATGTGTCCTAACTATCCTTTCTTATTGTGTGACATTTCTGCGATTGCCCTTCCGTTTCTTGTCACTGTCATCTGCTTTTCAGTTATCTTTGTTCCTGTATCAAGTATTTATTCACGACTTTTAATGAAACCGACTTGTGCCTTCGAAAAGGACTGTTTTTCTCGTATTCGATCAATTGTTCACTTTTCGTCACATTATTTGCTTTTTGTATTCTCTGATCGTTGCTTATAGCTATTTCAGTCAAAGTTACATAAACTTCGCTTAGCATAGAAACGTCGTAAAATAGTTGAATCTGTGTACATGTGAAATTGGCAAAGCGTTATTGATGTCCCCGTTTCAATCCACTTAGTTAAAGCGGATAAATTCACTTTTTTCTAACTTTTCTCCAGTTTCCTTAACTGGCGGATGCAGTACTTGGCGTTACAAGCCGGCGTCTGCCAAGTCTTCCCGAGCCTACGTTCAGCAGCAGGAGCCCCCGGCAGGCCTGTGCGAGGCGACGAGTGTGGACATCGTGGAGAAGTACTGGGCTCAGCGGTACCGCCTGTTCTCCCGTTTCGACGAGGGAATTCAAATTGACTGCGGTAATTCGCTTCTTACTCCCGTGTTTCCGAGTATCCTTGAGTGGTTCTTTCCGTCTGGCTGGTTGTAGTTTTACGCATCAATTCAGGATGTAGCTACCTAACGGAAATGGCTAACCGATCCCGATTATCACACGCGTTTTGACGTAAATGGCTTGGTTTTTGTTTAAAAAGACGCTGGTTTACCCTGCACTAGTTTTTGTCCTCCTGGAACTTGATAATTTTGTCGACAATTTCCCTAATCAGTTTTCTTTTTAGTTGGGATATTCAAATGGGTTGTGTATGTGGACATTTTTAAATGACATTGTTTTATTTATTTTCACATTTCAGAGGGCCTATTTAGTGTTACCCCGGAGGTGATTGCTGCGCATCACGCAAGGAGGTTGTCCAACATTCTTGGCGGTTCTCCCTCCTCGCACACCGTTCTGGATCTTTTTACGGGAGTTGGTGGAAACTGTATTCAATTGGCGCTTGTTGGTTTCACTGGTAAGGTCGGCTCTGTTGCGAGCCACTTGCGGTCGATGTAGGAATGCGAAGGCACACCCATGGTGTACTAAACGTCGAGTCTTTAAGCACAAAAGAATAAACTCTGTTTTTATGGGGTTGATTGACTAACAGGCAAGTCCCTTTAATGTTAAGAATGGAACTGCAGACTTGAATGACCATTCCGTTCTGTCACAGTCCTAAAAACTGGCCGCCAAGCTTGCAAGAGGGCTGTGTTGTGTCGTTAATTTTCCTTTAAATTCTGACGGTTGCAGTCTGCTAAATTTTCTACAAATGCATGCCCTTTTGCTCGAGATTTAAGATTAACTGCATCACTACCTTCAATGGAGTTTGGAGCATTTTCTTACTCAGTTGTAATGAGTTTTGATCAGTTAGTTAAACTACCTTGTGATTTTTTTTTAATCACAGATGCTGGAAACAGTAGTTATGCCCTAGGTTCAAAGTCATTCAGTGTTATTCACTAATTTTTATGACTTCGATTTAATACAAGTCATTATTTTCTATGACTTGAATCGTAATCTTTCCATTTCACATTAAAACTTGATCAAAATTTACTCATTGTGGTGTATAAGATGTATATTCACATTTCAATTAATGGTTTGTGTAATTAGCATAGTCACTTGGGTACAGTTAGAAGGGAATAAGGGACTTAAAATTGGATCAAGATTCAAACTTCTTTTGTCATGTGCATGAGAAGTCGTAGGTTTGGGACCGATTCCAAGCCGAGTAAGCCTTCAGCTCCACCTCTATTAGTGTTATGTGTGACTTGACCATAAGGTAGTCATTATCACACACTAGTAAGCTAATTTGTTAAAACAGCATAATATGTTGCCACAGAACGCATAGCCAATGTTGCTGCCGTTTTTTTAACCGAGGTCAGCCGTCACACACGTTTAACCCCGACTGGGGTAGACGTGTAGCGACCGGTTATGTGTTGTAGGGGTTCCTAAAAGCGCTCGAGTCGGACTGGCTGCAGGGGAGAGACATGGGCAAAGTTTAAGTGGGATGGAGGTTATGGTGATAAAAATAGCTGGAGGTGGCCTACCGAGACCGATATTTGCGGTATGGAATGCAAGGCCACTTGCGCGATGGATACACCGCGAAAATGTGGCCCAATCGATCAAAATAAATAATGCTCGATTCAGAGTTCCCCCATCGCCTACCACTATCTAATGTCGTAGACATCCTACTTGTTACGGTCAGTTACGCATAACTGCCTTATGACGCACAGTTTCACAAATATTCAGAAAACTTGCGCACCCCCGTGCGTATTCTTTCGAAAAAAGAACTCAGGAAGTCTTTTTATGTGTCCCTACGAAACAGTAGTTTTAATCATGACAGGATCCTGTAGTCATGGCAAAGCCGGTAACCTGTAGGGGCTAGGTCGCGGGTGCCACAACCACGCAACCCTCGGTTGTTGTTGTTGTAGCAGAAAACAACGTCACTGAAAATCAAGGTATTTCCCGTGCGTGTGATCCAAATTCCGCGTGGTTATCACTAACACGCGGTCGTCTTTTAGCCTAAGAAAAATTTCGTCAGTGTGATCCATGATAATACCTCCTAATTCGTCTTCTATATGACACCATCGTCGGTCACTTTTAACTTGTTTTTAAATCATCAAATACGAGTAGTTGGCGCGGTTAGCCGTCTCTGCTTGCGTACGCACTTGGTCTGGGCTGTTTTGTTTTGTTTTGTGTGCTTGGCCAACCAGTTCTGCGTCCTCTCGAATTTGAGTAACTAATCTTTTTGATCTTCACCTTCATTAAAGTAGTTCCTTCGCATCCATCGGCATATGGACGTGCGGTAGCATCGCTGCAGATCGACTGGTCGAAGCTGTTCTTTTGTTATTAGGGGGTGCTTTAATCTGCCTTTATTGCTGTTCATTTGGGTATTGTAGTTATTATTGTTATTGAGCACGTTAGACCTCGCCTCTAGCAGGCGCGTAGCCAAACGCTAATTCTTGTCGTTACACCTAATGACCTCATTATACGCTCAAATAGATTCTAATGCATGGGTGCATGGATGAACTGATCATAAGACATGTTTTTTTCCGTTTTAGGCGTTTGCTTATGTAAATTCGTTTTTCTTGGATAGTAATTGATTATTATCTTACTCATGTACATCTTATTTTTGCTACCCAAAATATGCAATTTCTCAGCTGTCCGGCCTTTTTCTCGTAGCCTGTTAGCCATCTGACTCTAAGTAAGTACGTTGGATGACCTTCGCGTACGGTGGTGCGCCTTAGCGAAATTTGATCGGAAAACCTTGAAATGCGAAAAGGTCTAGTTGTAAAGCAGTCCTGATATCGTGGAATCAAAACAAGGCAATGGGGTAGTATCGTAGATTTAATTTGTGCCTATTCCGTCTAAATAGCAGTGGCTTGAAATTATGTAAGAGCGTTAGCGCATAAAGCGTTTTTTCGAATTCTTTTTTCACGGAACGGCGCTCATCTATTGGCATAAGTGCCTTGCAATAGCACTGATTTGCCTAAGTTATCAAACAAGAACCAGTTATTTCACACACACACACACACACAAACCACGAAATACTTCGTCCCGGAAGTCATATGAACGTCTATTTGCCATACAAGAGCGAAACTTAACTTAATCCGGGTGTCGGCTTTAGCGGGTTTGGTCGAAAATCAAAAAACGTTTGATTGTGTTTCTAGTTAAGCCGTTGCACTTTTGCGCTAATCAACCATCGTTCGCCTGAGTTAAGGTGATCAAACGCATCCCCGTTGCCTGTCGCACTTGACTTAGTCGATTCCTTTATCGTACGAACCCACTGCGATCTTACGTCGTCTGCTATATGCTTTACTCACCTTCTCTTGCCTCGTAATAATTTGTCTAACAACATTTGATATGTCTATAAATTTGCATGCGATATGATTTTAAGCAGCAACACCCAAGCGGTTTAACTACCTCTCTTTCATACTCGACGGTATTGGAATTGTTTTATTTGCTTCCTGTTATCTAAAAGTATCAAAATGCTTAAGAAGTAATGTTGACAACTTCTTTAACTGGTCAGCCACAAAAATAGTGTCTAGGGCCATGTCGCACTCTCAGTATATTCCATAAGCCGTCAAATGAGCCCTCAATGAAACACCTGGGATTTTCGCGTGCTTATTCTATTTTTCTTTCTGTTTGGCCGTTTTCCTGCCTGTACTATTACGTCATTGTTTACAGGAAGAATTGAACGCGAAGTTTACGAGTAATTTAATATGTGGCTGTTTTATCAGAAGTGTGCATTAGGCTGCGTACGTAAATGTTGCAAAACCTGTCGGTAATGCAGAAGGGATCAGCGGTGAATGACAAAAGAAAATACAGAGTTGGATATTTTTATCTATCTGCAATAATTTCGAAGTCATGGCGTCACATTTTATTACTGCTACCCGTCTTAAGTGTGTTTGAGAAGTGTGCAATGTGTTTTACCAAGACGTTTACGCAGAGTCCGATAGGCTAATTTCCGTTCTTCCGATTTCTTCACAAGACTACTCTCTCCAGTGCTCTCCTGTTGCAGAAAGTTGATGTGCCTTGGAAGCATTTCTATCGTACTATTCGAAAATCATTTCCGAACACTGTGGCTATGGCCTATCAACCCCTACGCAGTACGAACGGCCTTCAGTAGCGAATGTTCGTTTTCTATATCAAACTTCGAGGAATAGAGTTTTCTAAATACTTTGCGTTTTCAAAAAAGTGTGTACTTTTGGTGTCGTGTTTGCACTTTAATGAGCTTCCTCCCAGACTATCCTATTCTTTTCCATCTCTTTTATTACTACAAAATCCACGATCCTTTTAATTTGTATCATCATGCACTCGTCAGATGCCCGTATTCGTTCCACCTTCCTATACAACTTTTAACCTTTGCGCGGATCCAGTTGTCTGCGCGGCTTGGTGGTCCAAGGTTTCCCGATGAGACCGCACTGTTACTACCGCGGTGCTTTTACGCGAATGCAATAACTACCTCATTAAACATTTATGGTCATTGCTACCCCCAATAGAAGTTTTAATGTATTATATTTATTGCTCACACGTAGGGATGCGGAATCATATTACGGAATACGACGCTTACCGGGAGGCCTGGAATAGTGTAATTCAGTTTCTTTTGTCTGGATCTTATTGATCCTTCTGCTAGAAGTTGCCCTCGACTTTTCCACATAAAATATTCCTCAAATCTGCAGCACACAATGTGAATTAAGTTGGTATTTTGAAATCCCTAGTTTTCTCGTTTAGTTGTCACCGTTGACATAAGTCAGTCAATGCTCAACATGGCGGATTCTAATGCTCGTGTCTACGGCGTCCGAGATCGCATCACATTTATCAAAGCCGATGCCTTCTCCTTTCTTCATGAGACTGGCGAGCGGTTTTCCGCAGTTTTCGCCTCACCTCCCTGGGGGGGCCCCTCGTATTCCTCCTCCAGCATCTTTTCCCTGACCAACCTCGCGTTCTCGGGAGAAGGGAACGATGACAAAACCATTTTTGATCTCTTGATAGCCATTACGTCTGTCACTCGCGCTGGGGGCCCTATTGGCCTGTTTCTACCACGGAACTCCAACACTGGTAGGTTTTTTCCAATTTGAGCTCCTCACCTTTGTTTCAAGTTTCGTCATCACCTTGAATACTGCATGCGTCCAATAACCAACGGTAGTTTAATTTCTTTTTTTGTCTACTTTGCAGGTCAGTTATTTGAGCTGCACCGAAAAATTACTGGTGCCTTCAAACTCAGCGCGATTCCCCTGCTCGAATGCGAACTCGCACTGATCCACGGGAAACCCAAAGGCGTGACGGTGTACTTCTACAGCGACGACTATGCCAAGCATTGTCATTCCTCTGAGGCTATAGACAATGGGGGGTAAAGTGTCAGCTCTAGCAGCAATCGTTCAGTTTTACAACTACAATATGCATAACCATCATAACTTTTAGTAGTATTCTGATAGGACAAACACTTCCATGTTTATCGGCAGACATTGGCTATAGAAACCTATAACCTTGTGGTTTTAAAACATGGGGCTTGACAATGAATAAAGTATCCAGGTTAGGAGCATTTTGTGACAGTAGGGAAAAAATGCAAGTGTAGAAATCACGTTTTGCTTTGGGCTTAATGTCAATGAAATCTCGGTTGTGCATCCAAAAGGGAATGATTAGAACTTGAAAAAAATTATAAAGAATCTTAATGTCAGTAGATTTCACAATAACCTGTTGCAAACGATATGGTGCGTGGTTTAAAAGAAGACACAAGTCATCCCAATCTTAGCACAGTGATCAGCAAATCCGCCTGTAGACAGGCCAAACCTCTTTTTCTCATTTCATATTTTACTCTCTTATGCGCCTCCTCGAAGGCAAAAATTCAGATTCAATCCCTTCAGATCAGTGTATTTGTAATCAAAACGTACATCTGTAATATTCGTGAATGAAACGGAAAACACTGTAGGTAGGCGTGTTTTGTAAGAGGGGAAAGCCTATAATTAATAAATAATGATTATATTCTACTTCACGACAGACAACTAGGGTACTAAACTTTGTGAAGACTGGAGAAATTCAATCATCAGATGTTACTACAAGTCAATGGGCTTCAACTCAACCACTAAGGTGGAACCGGTCGGAACATGTTTTACTGCTGGAAGCGGCTGCGAAAAAGAACTTTGTACAGCTCTTTTCGATTTCCTGCTATAAGATCCTCAGGGAGGTCCCGTTTCGCGCAGGTGGATGAACGATGTAGATTGCGTTGACGGGGGTGCGTTGGATGAACTGTGATTCCGCACTCAGTAGGGGATTCAAGCACCGCCTAGTAATGCTTTATTTCTGCGTAGGCCTTCATGTTTCAGTTCTTCCATTTATTCTGTTGGTTACATTTAAAAAGCACCTAGACCTCATTTAGATGACATGATTGAAATGCGAGATAATAATGAGTTGTTTCCGCTGTTCAATTTCACGGTTAGATGCACTTTTCAGTTCGTGTTACTAGTGTTCTAAAACAACTCAATTATTTGAATTTAATATTAACTTAGCCTTTAGATCAAGGTTGGATTATGCTTCATGAAATTTTTCACGAAGGCACGTGAACAAACCGTTTTAGGACGGTGGCCGCTTAATCTGCAAGGTAACTCAAGGGGCCCTATGTTTGATAAAGCTGTTGTGTTCTAATAAAGTGAACGAACAAGGCTTTTGTATGCAGGGTGGGCGCACGGTGGTGATTGCATGCACCATTTTTGACAAAGTCATAATTCATAAGTCCAAAGTGCATGGATTTCAAATGGCTTTGTGGGTTGAATCTGGGTGTTGGTGGGATCGAGCGAGAGGTTGAAGTGGTGGGGAGGCAGCTTTGCGCGGCCGCTGTAAGGCGTCCCCACTGACTGCACCCGAGACGCATCGTCGAGTTCAGCCTGTAAGCGGACTAGGCGTACCACTAATTGATAAAACCTACTAGAATCTAGACGTCTGGATCAAGATGAACTTCCTTTTCACCCATACTTGTATAATGAAACCAATATGTTACACTAGTTTTCATCACAATAATACATTGATTACTAGGTGAATTTGAAGCCTTCCAATTAAGTGGGAATTTATCTGAAAGGAAGGTTTTCCCGGCTGATCGCGCCTTAGTTCCAAGGAACACCAGAATGTGGTCGAAGTAAATGGGTAAAGCCCTTGTCAATAGAATAGAACCATTCATCAGGCTCATTGAATCGCCTCAAGTGTTCGTGTTGACCTGTAAATCCTGTCTTTGGTTCGCTGTGAAGCAATGTCGTCAAGTTCCAATAAGATTGGCTATTACGCAGAATACAGCACTTAAAATGTAGATTATATATTCGAAGTGGTCCAGATGTAACTGCACCAGAATTAATATTGATAACTGCAACTACGTTGAACAAAATTGTATCCCCAATCTTGCACTTAATTTCCACACGTTTAATGGTAATAAAATTTAGTTCAGGTTATTGTTGCCTCAACTATTTGATAAAGTTTGGTTACGTTTATATTTATGTGATGCGTGCGTGTAATTTGTGTTTACCGGTACTTACTTGTAAATAAACAGCTTTAAATTTACATTTTCACAACTTTTGACATGATCAATTCTACCATTGTTTTAGGCAAGCCTGTTCGGGTAATATAAAGTGTCGTCCGCGTGCGTGTGTGTCTTCACTCATGTACGCTGTCACGGGGCTTTATTGAGTTCACCCTAGCCTGTGCAGTTGCACATGATTATCAGCAGGTGTCTGTCAAGGTTAGCAGAATATCGCCGCGTTACTGCTGCGTGCCTGCCAGTACTCCAGTTTATGGTCTAGAATTGCGTCCTATTACTTGATGGTACGAGCGAGACAGTTAATATATAAAAAAATCATTCAGTGATTGGCACATTGTAGCAGCAGTTCCTCAAATTCTTCATTTTTATTTTACTTATTTGTGATGCAATATTGGGAAAACCTCCGTGGCAAGTAAAATCCAGGGGAGAAACCTCAAAATGGCAGGCAATTAGTCAAGTGGTTGTAGGCCGTCACAGGTCCTTAAAGTGACAAGCTTAAAACAAGGAGGAAACTACTAGAACTTTTTTACCTACTTATTGACTTTTCAACGTATTTAGCATTTAAGATGCATTGTAACCGTTCGTGTATACGGTTCTGAGTGGACTCAATTTTTATCTCTTGAATCTTATGCATTCAGTGCTTATTGGACCAATAAAACCCTTCCCCGTCTATATGAGAGATAAAAACTTACTTAGATAAGCATTAATGGCGTTCTAAACGCAAAATGACTGCATTTGAGGGATATCAAAGAAAGCTTCAGGACAACAAGTAAATGTGATTCCGGAAAAAAGTCGCGCCAGATGTTATGATATCTTGTCTTGGCTTGTCAGATATACTCATTATTTCATTTGAGCGTTTGGTTGCCATCAAGAAAGGCGTTAGTTGGAGTCGGTAATACTGCTAGGACATTAGGATAAATCTAATTACGAAAAAATGTGATGCATTTTCACTCTGCTTGTGAGAAATTAGTAATCCGTGGCTTCTCTTGCTTGACCTCATATAATATAAAATAAACGGGAGCGTAAATTTCTCAATGATAAATTATGACTAAGTCTTGTGTTGTAGTCAGTCGCATGGTTTGTCAAGGGTTAATGGAGCTAAAAATATTTACTTAAGCTACCGTTGCGCGCACACCATTATACAAACCCAAAAGTCCCCAAAGTAAAAAACAATGGGACATTACGTGGGCTAGTTGAATGCCAATCCTGAGGTTTCGGTTCTGTGATTTGAATAAGCCTTTTGAACTTGATTGTTTTCCGGACACTCATTCTTGTTTTTTTTTGTTAAAACCAAAAGTAGTAATGAACATTTGTACTTATTTGCATTCAGCCTCATCAGATTCATTTGAAATAACTTTTCTTCTTATAGAAATGTACAATTTGTGTTTGAATTACAGGTTACTTGGAAATTCTTTAGCTTATTTTAAATTAAATATATTTCTTCTTCGAGAATTTCACGTAATTCAATTCGAGGCAGCTAATAAAAACAAATGTTTCGGAAGGCTTCACACGTGGAGATTCTTGTTGAGTTTCGGTAGGCAGAGAAATAAACTTCATTTGCCAGTGGTTAGATGTATTTTTAGCGACTACCTCCTTCTAACTGCTGGTGAGCATTAGGCTTAAATTGTTGGCTTTTGAGCAAGTCTATGAGAAATATTTTGAGTTTTATATGAAATTAGTCAACATTAAATTGAGTCTAGGTCAATCCATTGGTGGTTTTTGGACCGGTCTTTGGAGCCGACTGCAAAAATTCAACCTTCATTCCGGTGACGGCCACCGAGAAAACATGGGTTCTTTCAAAAGTCCAGGTTAACTTAATGGGAAGCATTGTCCCGCAAGTTTAGTTTCATTGCTTTAGCATGGGGTGAAAGAGAAACACTTTGGAATAAATTTCATGCAAAAAAGTATTGTTTAAATTTTGTCATTATTAATTATGTCAAAGGATTTTATTTTAAAAGCCGCTTTATCACAGTTGTGCAAAGAGTGTTGATTTCTTAACTCCACTTTTTATAAATCGCTAAAATTTTGGTGCACTGTCGATACATTAAGGATGGAACGGAATTTTTGAAGATCTTGGCGGATTTAATCCGAAATTCTAAGTGGAAGAAGTAGGATTGGGCGCCGGGGATGTACTGTAGCAACGAGGTGTGCTTTACATTGACTTGGTACATATTCTTCGAGTTGGCGATAGCCACCGCAGTCATAGTGACTGTTTGTTGAGGGATTCGTGAAGTCTGCCACAAATATTCGGGTTCAATGTTATAAAAATCAGGATTGTGCTTTTGTGCTAAAAACTCGCTCCAGGACTGACAAGCATGTAAAAGCATACGGATATCCCGCTGGGTCAAGTGGACGCTAAACCGGTTGTGATTACGTAGTAGAGATGCGCTCGCATAGCACTTTTGTAAATGAGTCGTCAAAGCACGTACATATTTGTCATGTGAATAATATCTGCTGTTAGTTTAGCTCATTATCATCTGCGGGTTATCTCCACGGGAAGGTCCAGTAATCAAGTAATTAGTAACCCTGCGAAACCGCGAAAGCCTTTTTATTAATTAAAAACAACACTGAAACCAAATTCTGGCATGCTCAGATGTGGGAGAACTTGGCCTAAAATGGTGTAAATCCTCAAAACCAGACGGGAAATAGTTTGGCATGATCATAAGCAAAACATCTTAGGATAGCGGTTTTCCATATGTGATGGACAAACTTTATCTACGAAGCACAACACGAAAATAACCAAAATATTTCTGTGGTGTATGGGGTTTGCAAAGTGCAAACGTTGAATTCGTATATGTAACCGACATGGAAGCGATCGGTTCCGACATCTGC